CAAGCCCCAGGACTGGCAAAAAAAAAAAAAAGGTAAAAAGTGCCTTGTGAATTCAGTAACTAGTAAGTCATATAGATGGGTATTTTGTGGTAGTTTGATGGTATTAACATATTGTGCCTGGCTGTAGAATTTTAAGGAGTGATTGAGATGTGAATATGAACAATTTTCTGAGAAGACAACTAAGGAAAGAAAGAAGACATTAGTGAAATGCTATGAAGAGGTGCAGAGTGAGCAGAATGAGCATGTCTCCAATCACCTAACGCATTCTGCTTAAGGGCCGCTCATACAGGTCTAATATGATTCTGGTTCATCATAGATGAAGATAGTTGTAACATGTTAGCATAATATATGTGGCTTTAAAATTATTTTATTTTTAAGGAATGGGAGCAAGGACATAATTTGTAAAAAAATATATATATATAGTTTAAGCCATTCTTGTCCCTCCAAAATACACCTCATAAATTTGCTGAATAAAAACAAAATTCCACAATATGCAAGCAATTATTCCATTCTTGGCTATAGGACACAGAGATCTTTGACTAATCTTTAGCACAGGAAAGAAGTTGTGTAAAAGGTACTCCATATTGTGTACATATATATATATATATATATGCATAAATTATATATAGGGCTCAGGAGTGTAACCACTATAGTAACTTTTTGCTCTTTTATTTGAATTAAACAAAATTTTCACTTAGGGTTTACTGCTTATATTTCCATTAATGAATCTTCTGAGCTTCAATGCTCTTAAATAGGATATTAAATAGGATATTTATTCTTAAGGCCAAGAACTTAAAAACATATGTGTTATGTGTGATTAAAGTATCCAACGCAATATAGTTATGGTTATATTTTCTTTTTAAATGCTGTTTATAGTAGTAGCTATGATAATAGTATATGTTGCAAGTAAGACTCTGAGAACCCACAATGGAGAGAAAGCAACTACCAATCATCACTTGTACTTGATGAACATGATTATACTTCTATATTCAGGTTTAATAATTATGTTGATATGGTAAGCAACTCTTTGCACAAGAATTGTAATCATGACAGATGAAATGCTCTTATTCAATTCAAGTAAATGCACTTGAACCATTTGGTAACCACTTTTAACCATTTGATAACTATAGATTAGAGTCCCATCTTTTCCCTTCTTTTTTACTGTAAAGGACTAAATTTGCATCAATAGATCATGTAAGTCTTAATGTTGTACATTCTGAACACACAAAGATTTACTTTCACAATTTGGCATTTCATTTAGGAGAACATGTTAGATTAACCTACCTTTTTTTTTTTTGGTCAGTTGTGGGCTTGAACTCAGAGCTAAGCACTGTCCTTCAGCCACTCTGTGCTCAAAGCTAGCACTCTACTACTTGAGCCACAGCATCACTTCCAGTTTTTGGTTAATTGGAGATAGGAGTCTCATGGGGAGAAAACAGGCTGGCTTCAAACTGTGATCTTCAGATCTCAGCCTCCTAGGTGTCTAGGATTACAGGTGTAAGTCAATGGCACCTAGCTTAGATTAACTTAACTTTTATAATGTTTATACTTTGAACTTGAAATTGTTAATCCATCATTTTCATGATCTATATGTATTATCTATCTGGTAGAACTTAGTAATTCTGAAAGTCATATCTAAAACAGCTATATATGGCATAGTGTTTTGTGATGCATAATTAGAAAATTATCCTATGACAGCATTGGCTTTTGTTGATGTTTGTTTGTTTGTTTTGTTTGTGCCAGTGCTATGGCCTGAATTTAGGTCCTGAGCATTGTCCTTGAGATTTCTTTTCTTTTTCTTTTACTTTTTTGTTTCTCAGAGCTAGTACTCTACCATTTGGGCCACAGCTCCATTTCTGGGTTTTGTTTTGGGTTTTTTTGGTGGTTAATTGGAATTAAGAGTCTGTCACACTTTTCCTGCTCAGGCTGTCTTCACACCAGGATCCTCAGGTCTCGTCCTCCTGAATGGCAGCTAGGATTACAAGTATGAGTCATCAGCACCCAGATCTGAGAGCACTGATTCATTTAATTAAAATATTATTTTTGAAATGGCATGTGGTCTGGTTGTCTGCCCTCAGTGGTGACACAGACCCTCCAGACATGACAGTTAGTCCCTTATGTAAATGAAGGACCAGGGTGACTCCAGGGACAAGCTTCTTCGGGAACCCTAGGTGGGGATCTTCACTCTGGCCTGGGTGGGAATGATTACAGATTCGAATTCACTGAATTTGATCATACCAAGCTCTGTGCCCCCAGGCAGTGGCTTCAGGACAGAGGACTACTTCAGCAGCAGATGGCTGTGGTTGTAGAGTAGTTTCCTCAAGATGTCTGTGGAGCAGCTGACACTGGCAGGAGCTCAGTAAAACTGTGGAGCTAATAGACCTTCCAGGAGGCAGCCAGGGCACCAAGAAAAGGTCTAAATGCTGTCAACACAGTAAATTGTCCTAGCCTCCTACTTCCTAGATCATTTAAAGGAAATATAAACACTAACAAAAAACCCTATAACTTGACCAAAGCCTCAGTCTGACATTCCAAATAAGATGAGTGTGAGCTGTGGGAATTGAGGCTACCCAGGACCCTCTTTCTAGGATGCCTTCAGCTTCAGTTACCCTACTTTAATTTTCTGTAGGAACACCTCCCCCTACTGTACCTTACTAATTATTACTCTAATTAATTGACTTTAAACATGCTGCCTAGCAGAAGTCAGGTGGGGCAGGGAGAATCCCCAGGGTCCCCATTCTTTTTGGCAGGACCCCAGGAAGCCAAGTGCTGAGGAAGACTTCTTTACCCCACCCATCACTTGCTTCCCCAGGCCCCCCAGAGGCCTTAGTTTGGGTTGTGGCCTATTCTCAAATGCCTTGAGAAGGAGGGGAAGGAATAAGATTATAGTTTTGCTTTTTGTTGAATTGGAAGGGGGATTCTACTTTATACCCTTCCCAAAGATGGGGAGGGACACCAGGATTGTATTCCTGAACTGGCCACCTCTGTTGTCACTCATCCCATGAAGTTCACATCCCTCAAGAGTTAGGATAAATTCAGGTCTAAGCTACAGGTATGTATTCCTCCAGGGTCATAGAAAAGTGATTGACCAACTGATCTCCATTTAGAAGTGTGCAGTTTTAAGGTACAGTGCACCAATGGTTATTTAGTAATGTTTAACAGTAATCTAACAACAATTAACCCTTGTCCCATTACCCTAGTGAGAGGTGGATTCCTACTATTGTTTTGTGAGGGAAGTGTGGAGGCGAAGTAGCTCCTGTGAAGGAAGACATGCCATATATTTTAGTAAATTAGGACAACAGGAAAATTTGAAATGTGAGGATACTCCTGATTATGAAATTGGAATTTCCCTGCAACTTGTATTTCCGGAAAACACAAAATTATAAAGGAAAACTCCTATTAATGGAAAATCTTGGTACCAATTTTTATCCTGTAAATTAAAATGATTAGGCAGTTAGAGTGAATGGTTTTGCAGTCAACTGTGTTCTCTCCTTCTCTCTTTTTTTTTTGCAAACTGTGTTTTTCCCACTGGTTTAACTTTAAATTCCTGTACTGTTATTGGATATATTTGTTCCTTTAAGTTTCTAATTGTGAAAAATAAAGTTAGTGTTATTGGTCTCTTTTGGATCAAAACTGTGGGCAAACGGTTGCAGACATTGACATGTATACATGTATAGAACTTGGAGTGGGAGGAAAGAAGCCAAGAGGAGAAACGAAAGAAAGGACTGGCAAGTAGAAAAAATAAATGGCTTTTGAAAAAGAATAAACTGTCTGGTAAAACAATGCTATCCCTCTTCCTTGTTTCTGTTCATTTAGCCACCATCTCACCATCTCTAGCCTCCAGTTTCAGGTGCTGTGATTGCTGCCCAGCCCTCATACTCCCTGGGCTTTGGTCACATAGATTCTTAGAAATTGAGAAATGCTGTATTAAAAGATAGAAGATATATTAGATTCTGTTTTTGTCCTTGAACAATTTATAATCTCTCCTTAATTCTCTTAAGCCTCAGGGTTTTCTGTAAAGTGTAGATATGAATGTTGTTTTTGCTCTTCTCAAACTAAGTGAAGTAAGCGAAAAATATACTCAGAAAGTTCCGAGGGCTTATGTAGTGATTAGTATTTCTAATCTCAATGTGTATATACATGAGAGGTGTGGGTAGTTTTGAGAAAGAAGAAAAAATGAGAGGTATAAATAATCAAGAAGAAACTCATCTTTCTCAAAGTTGTTTCTTACACACATTATCTGGGTTTTATTTGGTGAGAGAAAGTGAAATCATCCTGAATGTATTATTTTGCTTTTGCTTTTTCTTCTGTTGAACTATTATTCATCTCAAACCTTCCATAGAGAATTGGAAGTTTGTGCCTGTGTCAGTTAGGTGAAGCATTTATTTAACCTAACTTTTGTGTCCCAAACGAATGACAAAGACACTGTATTAAAGCAACAGCCGCAGTACTTGAATCAAAAAGTAGTTTTTCTGTTTATTTTATTGCTTTTGATTTTTTTTATCTTTTTGAGATAGCATCTCAAAAAGATAGGCCTCAAATTTCCAATCTCCTGGCACAACTCCTGTGCTTCTACAGTGCCAGGACTATAGGTATGTAGCACCATGCTTGGCTAAGAAATGTTTTCCGATGGAACTGATAAACACCTAGTTCTCTATATCTGCCCACATCTCTTTGAAGTGTGCTATTTTTTTTAATACTATGTTCTGACTTTTAAGAAGATACACAGAAAAACACTTCATTTCTTTTATAGCAATTTCTTTTTATTTTATTTTGTTGTTTGGCAGAGAAAAAAATATTCTAGAATGAAAGCTTTTTTGTTAACCTGACCTTAAGCCTCTCTTACTGAGGTTTAGCCTGCCTCTGTATTCATATTTTAGGTTATTGTTATTCAAATATAATATACAAGTTGTCTTTTTATAGTAAGCTTTAGTTAGGGATAATTTTCCTTTCTGTGATAATTAGCTGCTTTCAGTAACTTATTTTTCTGATTTGTTTAGCAGCAGCAACAGAAGAACCAGAAGTGATCCCAGATCCTGCTAAGCAGACAGACAGAGTTGTGAAAATAGCAGGCATTAGTGCTGGGATTTTGGTGTTCATCCTCCTCCTCTTAGTTGTCATATTAATTGTTAAAAAGAGGTAAGGTCCTATGCTGTTCTTTCCTCTTACTCACAATTGATGTCACTAATTTTCAAATTCTTTTCTTCTATTAAGTATTTTAAATTAGAACAAGAAGAATTTAAAATTAATGAGATTGCCAGCCCTTGAATATTTTACTCATATGTTTATTTGGTTATTTGCAGTTTGAATTTGGTTATACATATATGTGTTTTATTAAATTAACTGTAAAAACCACCATAAGAATTTAGATTTCTCAAATGAAGTGATACTTGAGTCATTAATTTATCACACTTTAAGTGTTATTATTAAGAGTAACAATATGGATTTTTGTGCTACTTGGGTCACAGTATAAGTTATTGTGTTTTGTGTTTTTCTAAATCTTTACTGCAAATAAGAAATGAGAATATAAAATGGTTTAGTGATGGTATGTATTAAATTTACACTGACTAAAAATTTCAAACGTTAATTTTTGTAACTAAACATAATCTTTTCTATTAGATCAACCAATATAACAGTCTTCTGTAATATATAAACAAATTAAAATGTGGGATAATTTCAGTTGCTCTCTTCTGAACATTAAAATATATTTCTATGGACAAACATTTCAATTTTTATTATTTGAGTTTTTAGCCATCATATGAAATGTCACAGTCTGTAAATCATTGTCTTGGAAATTAATACAGCACTCTAGGCCTTACAGTCATGTGTTTTTGGATAATGATGCAATTTGAAAGAAATTATTATTTTTTAAAACTTTACATACAGAGTACATTCAAACAGCTTTGTGTATAGAAGTGGTTATACTTTAATGAAGTATAATATCTTAAGGGATATTGTTTATATTAAATCTAATAATATAATATTATGAAAATGTGATACCCAAAGTGAAACATTAGCATTATGGATAAGACTCATACTTCATGTTTTAACAATTCCATGAGAGTTTATTTTAATATATTGCCTCTTTACCCCCTGGAGATATATATGTTGGAGAAGACACATCTGCATTAGAAACATTAGGTATGCATTATAGTGTTTTGTGTTAAATTAGCTACATTATGTGCTTTCCCCAAATAGTGCTTTCTCTTTTTGCTGTTGTACACCTCTGTGATTAGAAATTACATCCTATGTGAAGCAAGAAGATTTTAGAAATAACAAATTTTTCCAGTAAAGATCAATAAGATTGTGGGACATAGCCTTATATCTTATGTCTTTGTCCAGCCTAAATTTATGTCTGGAGAGAGACATAACCTAAAACAGCTTAGAGATTTGATTAAGCATTACTTCACAGTTGAAATTATCCTAGAAACTTCAGTTTGGATATGTGAAAGTGGCCTCTGATTATGTACTCACTCAGTATTGGACTTAGTTTTATTTGTTAATTTGAAAATATTCATTGGTATGTAGTTGCTCTCCTCATCCCATGGTACTCTGTTGTAGGAAGAACAAAAAAATACTGAACATACTTCCTAAGGCATGCTAACAACAGTCACTAAAACATTTGGGAGGGGGAGAATCAAATGCGCTGACAACTCTAAAATTGCATAATGTAATAAATCCTGAAGTTTAATAATTTTGATTAAATTGATAGAAAGAATCTAGGACTTTCTCTTCTTTGTTATCAGCACATCTATGACTATACAAATTTTAATTTTAGACATGGATCAGGTTCCATATGTTACTTTCTGATGTATAATATTAGGATTAAATTACTCACCTCCTTACTTACCGAAGCAACTTCATGAAGATCTTTACTCATATGTACAATGGCACAAATATATCATGTATGAGTTAAATGCCAGTATGTTTATTATATATACCAAAAAGCATAGATATTATAGAAGTACTGTGTATGACCAAGTTTAACCTAAAATTTTAGCGTAGGTACTTTGGCTTTTAATATAGCCTCTTCTTAGATGCATATTTATGGGAAATTGTTGTTTCTCAAAACTTTATCCCATACTGGTAGAAGTATATGTGGGTATATTTCTTACTTGAAAAAATTCCATGTGTTTTTGGTTGTAAAGAAGTGGTTTTGAATTCAGCTAAGTAAAATACTACAGCTGAGGGTATATATAAAGTAAGTTTTTAGGAGAAGAAAAGGGATATTGCATCTTTCAGAACACAATGTCATTGTTTTTAATTTAATTGCTGTTGAATTATTTCCAAATGTATGCCATTTTTCCATTGATTGCATATTATATATTCTACATGCACAGCATGAACACATTAATAATTGCAAACATCTATTTGAAATTATGTTTCAATACAGTAAATGTTTGTACATGATACCATGTTCACATGCATCTACTGTAGAAATAGCTTTGTGTATATATAGTATTTGGTGCATATGTATATTACCAGAATATATGTATATACCTGTGTACCATTACAAAATTCATAAAAACTTGGATGTTGTTCTCCATATATTATATTAGCATAGTAGATCTTTCTGTTTATATCTAAAGAATAATAGTCTATTTAGTATACAATTCTATACACAGCTGGTCCATCTGTCATGACATTTAGATGGTAATGGATGATACTATGCTTTACTGCATGTTGAAAATAGACAATCCATTTAATTTCTTCAATTTTTGGCAATAAAAGAAATGTCAGCATGTTATTTTTTCCAACTTAATGTATTTCAAATTTTATTTTATTGCATATCTGTCTGTTAGTTGCATGGCAAAAGAAACCTAACAATGCATGTGCAAATGGAAATGCAAAGCAAAAAGCAAAAACATGAATTTCATTTTATTTTGTTTTCTTTTTTAACGCACATTTTCTGCTTTATTGAATGTGACAGAGTCACGCTTTTCATTCACCATTGCTTCTCTTTTTCCACTGTCTGTGATTTGCTTGCCAGGAGGAGCTACTATTCTTACTCCTACTACCTGTAAGTAGAAAACGGGTGATGTACGACTTTACATGTGTTAAAGATGCAGTATCCCTTTTCAAAAAACAAACAAACAAATCATGTTTGTACCTTTGGTGACTTAAAAAAATTTTTTTTTCTGCCCTATAAAACTTCAAACTATTTTCTGTTCTGGCAATCTTTTTAAAAAGGGATATTGTATTTCTGTATGTCCAGCTACTTTTAATTTTTATTTACAGTTTTCCATAAATAGCTCTAGTCTACAGCCAGAGAAACATAACTTATTTACTTAAATCAAGCCTTTATTTTAGCAATTCAACACTGGTAGAGAATGGTGTTGTAAATCCCTTATCTCTATCGTTATGTAATACTGTTTTATTTGAGGAATGAGCTAAATGATATATTCCTAGAGGAGAATTCACCAGGACAGGTGTTGGAGGCTCTTGCCTGTAATCCTACCTGCTCAGGACTCTGAGATTCAAGGATTGCGGTTCAAAGCCAGCTCATGCAAGAAAAGTCCATGAGGCTCAATTAACCACCAAAAGCCTGGAACTGAAGTTGTGACTGTAGTAGTAGAGTGCTAGCCTTGAATGAAACAGCTCAGGGACAATGCCCAGGCTTTTAAGTTCATGTCTCAGGAACAGTGGACATGCGTGCTGCTCGTATGCAAAAGCGCATGCGCACATACACACACACACACACACACACACACACACACACACACACAGAGCTGCCTTTACCAAAAGCAAATCAAATCAGGTCTGCATGTGATAACATCTCTTTTCACATTTCCAGACATGCAAGATGGGGTATAACCCATATCTTCAGAAGACCTTTACAGTCATTATACTATAGTTAAAATAAATGAATCAAATCATGATGATTGATGGGAAGGAAGGAAACTCTTTTCAGAGAAGAAACGAAATTATTTAGCACGCCTTAATAGAACAAAGACTATATAAAATCAAAGCAGAAAAATATTTTTTTTAAAAAAGTGAAAATCTACTCAAGGAGTAGCACCACCTCACATCTCATTTTCTCTTTCTGAGTTTGCAACTCTTGTAGATTAAGGTGTGGCAAGATTATTTACATAAGCTTGGCGAAGACTATCCATTCTATTTTTTTTAGTCCTTTTCAGTTTCTCAGTATCGATGACAAGGAAGTTCCCTGTCCAATCCAAAGAAATGATAAGGCTTACAAGTTTGAGATTAAGTATGTTTGGTTAGGTATCCCACTGCATGTGCAGCACTAGGTAAGTTTAAGCTAGCTTTACAACGAAATTTATGAGTCAATCACTAAAACACAAGTCTGCCAGCATTTTAAATATTACAAACATTTGGCTTCCTGAAATCGGCTAAAATAAGCAGGTGTAAAATAACAGTGCTCTTAGCTTATTGTGATGCATCATAATATGCTCGTTAAATCATGTTTGATGAAGCCAAAGGTAATTAACTGTACCATTTCGTACAATGATGGAGTACTTTCTCCCTTTATGGCCCACACATACATCCACCTGCAGAAGTTTATGCTGTTGGCTGCTTTGATAATGAAAGTCATTTGCACATCTGTCAAAATCAAGTGCTTACAAAATGAATTGCTTAACTGTCCTGAAGTGCACATTATATATGCTGCTTGCTCCAGAGAACACAAAGCATGAGACATACTAGAATCAATAAGTATTTAATTATGAGAATGTCAATAAGCCCACCATTAACTGTCACTGTATCTGTAAAATTAGAATGGGACTCTCTTTTGGTGAATGATTAACATTTGTAGACATGTAGATTAACATGTTCTAGACATTAACATTATGCTTATGCTACTATGCTACTTATGTCTTTTGGATTTTTAAGTCCTAACTAAAAAGACTATCAAAGAGATGGTGTGTGTGTGTGTGTGTGTGTGTGTGTGTGTGTGTGTGTGTGTGTGTGTGTGTGTTTGCACATGTGTTTGTATGCGCGTGTGCATGTGCATGCACACACTCACAGTGGCCAGAATGGAGGCTTGAACTCACAGTTCTCATTCATTTTTGCTCATGGCTGGTATCTCCAGTTCTGGGATTTTTGCTTGTTAATGGGCAATGTGACTCTTGGATTTTTCTTCCCAGGCTGCTTTGAACCCAAGTCCTCAGTTCTCAGCCTCCTGAGTAGCTAGAGTTATAGATATGAGCCAACATAGTTGGGCAGAGAGATGCTTCTTTAAAGGCTACTTAAACATCCCTAGAGACACTAACAGGAGTCAGAGTTTTATGTCATCAAAGTAAGAGTAAAGCAGAGTAAGCTAAGTTTCATTGGCACTGTATCATACTAGCTGTCAGGTTTTTTGAAAGGACATTAGTTAATTTTTCTTTGTTTTACTATAACCTGAATGAAAACCTACCTCACAGGGTTGTTGTGAGGATTAAAGTATAAGAAAGAATCAAGCTGATAACACATGACATGTAGCTTTCCACAAGGTTATACATTCACATGTAATTTGCCAACAACCACCATTCTGTTTATGGATTTGTAAAATAAAAGTCTTTCATTGCATGAAAACTTTCACTTTTCATGGATTTGAAAATCTGTTATTTCTAAGTTTTATCCAGTCATGAAATACATAGAAATTATTGATGTTAAATAAATTTGAAATCATCATTGCTATTGGTCATTTTCTATGTGCTTAGCTTCAAAATTTTAACATTATTTTGAATCTAAATTTCAAGTTGTTCCACTTTTATCTAATTCAGTATCTTATTTTTTTCTTTTTCCATTGTGGGGATTGAAATTCTGGCCTTGTACAGGAAGGAAAGGAAACTAAGCTAAATCTCAAAACCTTATTTTTCCTTCAAGTAACAAGGTTCATAATCAGTGTTAATAAGATGATTCAGTCTTATTGCCTTACAGAAAACAAACAAAATCCAGTCTAAGGGACCTTCTAAATATAAGTAAATAGTCTGAAGGCAGAGATGCTTTATTTTTTATTATCATGAATAAGTCTGATAAATGGCAAATGCAAAGAATGGACAGGCAATGAGGCAAGAATACATAACTAACATAATCAACCTCACAAAAGAATAATTGCAGAATCCCCGTGGGAAGCATTTCCTCAGATCTGCCTGCAGACAGCCCTGGATAATGCTTCCTTCAGAAAATTCTGAACAAAACGAAAGAAACTTGGTCAGAGAAAAGCATAAAAGTATGATGTTAAATGTAAATTAAAGTCTGGACAAAGGTGGCTCTTTCTTATAATCCTAGCTCCTCAGAAGGTCGACATCTAGAGAAACTTGGTTTGAAGCCAGCCTGGACAGAAAAATCTGAGAGATCCATCTAAAAAATGAGTTACTTAAATGAAAAAGCTAAGCCCAGAGGCATTTTAGGCACGTGAAAGCACATACAAATAAAGAAGTAATTATATACATTTATAATTTCCTAATATCATTTCTTAAGCAGTTTCACAATTTTTAAGTAATCATGCAAAATCTCTCACAATTCTTAAGGAATGAACTAATTATTTATTCTGGCTTGAGAAATTAAGATTGCAATCCCTAACAGATGATCTTTCCCTTCATTGAGCATACAGAATGGAAAATGAGTAAAAAGTATTAGCAATGATATGTCATGAATATTATTACAGTCAAGCATTATGCTACAAAAATCACCTGAAACACTGTATTGGGAAACTCCGTAGTAACCAGGTACTAGTGGCTCATGCCTATAATCCTAGCTACTCAGGAGGCTGAGATCTGAAAATTACAGTTCAAAGGCAGCCTGAGCAGGAAAGCCCCTGAGACTCTTATCTTCAATAAACTACTCAGAAAAAGACAGAAGTAGTGCTGTGGCTCAAGTAGTAGAGCACTAGTCTTGAACACAGAGAGGCTCAGGGACAGAGCCAGGCCCTGAGTTCAAGCCCCAGGACTGGCAATCAATCAATCAATCATCCATCCATCCATCAACCCTCCCTGGCCAGTTTTCTTCTAGACTTAAGCAGAACAAACCAACTGTAGTCACTTATTAGAGGGTAAAGACTATTATAGGTTCAAAAGCAAATTCTGTGTGATGGATTAGTGAAAAGTAGAGAAAAGTTTCCAAAGTATGTCTATAGTCTAAATATGGCCTGGTGATGTTTCATTAAGTCTACATACTGTTTTAGAGAGTAAAACTACTGAAAAGAAAGATATAAAACTATAATATAAATATTCTGAATCATGGTTGGTATTACAAAATCATAGTAATAAAAGCAGCTTGATACTGCCACAAGAATAGACCTGAGGACCAATGGAATAGAATAGAAGACCCAGAAATAAACCCACAGACTTATAGCCACCTATTATTTGATATGGGAGCCAAAAACACAGGATGGAAGAAAGACAGCCTCTTCAATGGTGCTGGCAAAATGGGTTAGATCCTTATGTATCACCACCCTGGACCAGAATCAATTCTAAATAGATCACAGATCTGTGTTTCCTGAAAATATTACAGGAAAAGAAAGGGAAAACACTAGGGTTCCTTGGCACAGGTCAGAACGTCCTAAGTAAAGATCCAGGTTCACAACAAATCAAAGAGAGACTGGATAAATGCGATTCCATCAAACTGAAGAGTTTCTGCATGACAAAGGACATAGCTAGCAAAATAAATAGAAAGCTCACAGAATGGGAGGTCTTTACCAGGTATTGTTTTTATTCAAGTTTGAATTTAAATACTCAGATTGAATGTTGTAGGTCAAGAGAGTTCTGCCTAAACTGCTCGCCAGTTCTTCCTACTCATCACCCCTCCATATGATGTTTTACCTGTTACCTGTCTACATGTTACCTTCTAGACTAGTAAAAAGAATTAGTAGAGAGCAAACATTGATGGTGGTGATGGGAGTAATTGTGTAGAGGTAGTTGTGGTGGTGGCGGTAATTGTGTTTCTGTCATTGTCTTCATAAGTATTACCAATACTCTGATTATTACTGTTATTTCCTCGGGGGGAAAATGAAATCATCTCCTCAAATGTCAGATCTGTCCTGTTAGGGTTTTGTGTTTTGGGGTGTCTACCCCAAGGCCAAGTACTGCAGTTTTCAAAAATAAAACCAAAGCACATTGAAGCAACACTCAAAGTATTCAAGGAATGTTTCAAGGAAAAAGCTTTTCAATAGAAACACAATCTATTGAGTTAGCTTTTATGGTGTTTGTACTACATTTAATTGAGTACAGATATATTAATGGGAATCAGAAGAAAATGTCTGATGTTAAAATCTGAGAAATAGTGTTCTTGAAACAACTGAATAATATTTCCAAGGCAACATAGACTGCTGCCATAAACTTTTTTTTTTATATATATAATTTGACTAGTGTGGGCTCTTCCTATTTGAGTTGCCTGGCTAATATGATTTAAACATCTTATATGCCTTTAATATTTTCACATGCATATTTGATGGGTAACATTCATGAAAAGCTATATGTAGTTTATATTCTTGATAATTAAGATAAAGGGGTCACTGTCTGAGTAATTCAAAATGTTAATTCTTCTAATTTCCAGAAAAGCTAAATAATCTGCCTTGCTCTCTGTATTTATAAGGAATTTCATAAGTGGATATTTTACCATGGATGAGGGAAGATTTTAGAATGTTTTTAGTTTTTGACTGTATCAGAACTCCAAGATGATGATAAATTACATTTTACTTGCATATAACACTTGTCCCATTTTTACCACCTTTCTCACACAGTATATAATTTTGTCCTAGATATTATGTGGTTGAGTATTATCTGTGATTTCTTCATAAAGACTTTAAACTAAGTTTTGATTCATGTTATAGATTTATTATCACGTCTGTTAATGATATGTTACATTTTTACTTATTAATAACAGACAGAATTAAGAATGAAACTTTTCTTTGTCTTAATTGAGTGGCTATCATAAGAGAGACATAAGTCTCACTTTTTCTAAGAACTTCTAAAAATTGATCAAAGAAATTAACTATCCAGATCACAACATAGCTTTAACTTAATCCTCTTTAGATTGTTCTACGCCAGAAACGATTATTTATACTTTGGGTAAAACAGATTTTTTTGAAACTTGTTTTGAAATACAGGAATTGATAACCAGGTTGGGTTGGCATTTTGAATATTGAATATTGAAATATCTGACCAAAAATATTTAAAAGGCAAGTTTTACAGCAACCAATCAGTGTAACTGTTTGAGTGTCTACTTAATTTCTGAAATTGTAACTAGTTGATTGGGTTTTTTAAATCCATGTCCATAAGCTTATCCAAGCAAGCCTACTTGAACTACTTGTTGCTTCATGCCTTACACTTAGGTTCCTTTTGTATTTGCCTTGGCAGCAAGCTTGCTAAAAAACGCAAAGATGCCATGGGAAACACACGGCAGGAGATGACTCACATGGTGAATGCAATGGATCGAAGTTATGCCGACCAGAGCACTCTGCATGCAGAAGATCCTCTCTCTATAACCTTCATGGACCAGCATAATTTTAGTCCAAGATGTAAGTTCTTCTATTAATATTTTAATAAATAACCTGAAATCTATTAAATTTGTTTAATATTCTTCATATTATCTTTTGAGTAATGAAAAAGAAACAAAAAGAAGAGAAAGAGCTAAAAAGAGTAAAATGAGAAGGTAGTATGGAACTTACAAGAAGCTGATGTTTGTTCCTGATACTGGATTTGGTTTAACTCCAGACTGTTAAACCTTTATTATTAAATCATAAGAAATATTCCAAATCTATACTACTCATAATGTTAGAGCCTTAAGTGAAAATGTGATTTCCTACATATAATTGGACCATGTCAGAATTTATACTTATTTTTCCATTAGCAGCTTCCTTAGCATAAGGGTAAGTTTCTTTTGAGTGAGAAGTAGTAAATCTTTCCTAGGTACTGATAGTATGGATAAGATTGAATTCTTGGAGAATTAAAATACCAAAAGGTTAACTAAAAGAAAGATTAGTTTATATGCTCCTAAATATCTAATGTAGAATCTAGATGTGTACTTAAATTGGGGGATTTGAAAGAATAGTAAAATCTACACATCCATCGCTCCTAAGAATTACTAATGTTGTTTGTGAAGGCAATGTTTTGAATATATTTCTTTGAGAGTACTGATTAATGGCAGATGATTTGATAATTATCTCAGAATTGATAGTACTATTTAATCTTAACTGTTTTCTATGAATTTGAATTCTGTTCCATAGTGCCTCTGTTTATGTTAACTTAATTAAGTTTAATTTACATGATTTTGTTGCTTTAGATACTTGTGTGAAATTCTCCCTCATGTAGATTTACAAGAAATAGAAGTTAGAAATGCTTTATGAATCATTTTGTAATTTAATCATGAAAGAATCTTTCTGATCTGTTTGATCTCTTGTTTCACTGATAAATTGCAAGGGAGAATATAAAATATTGATAATATTAAAAGTAAATTTAACTGAAAATATATATGTATTATCTCAAAGTGCTTGAGTTAATGTTTAATCAACTCTACAGAAAAAAAAATTCTGATAACAAAATTTTTCTGCAGGTTGTGTCTCTACAATACTAGAAAGTTCCAATTCAGCTATATAATTATAAATATCTACTTAAGAACTTATGGAAAGCATTAAATCTGTTTTATACAGTTAACCATAAATATTTATTTGAAAAAACATAAGATAAATATTCCTATAAGTACCTTACATGTGAAATATATAAAGTGTACTTTCTTGTCTCCTAATTTTATAATATTTATAATGTCAAGAGGAACCTTCCGGTTTTTCAATTGAACAGAGTACCAAACTATAATTACAGAATTTTCTTGATGGTTTGAGATAACCAAAGCTGGAAGTGAGAGTTTTACCCTTGCAGGTATCAAAGCAAGTTTAGTAATTATATTTCTTAAGAAACCATAAGTCTATTATAAGGAGAAAAATCAGAATACAATTTTAGAGAAGTATATTCCTTCATGAGCTTTGTTTTCCTACAGTGCCCAATGATCCACTTGTGCCGACTGCTGTGTTAGGTGAGGCCCTAAATCTTTATCACCATTCTCATTTTATTTTATTTTATCTGCATGGATCACAACTCTTTGCATGGGTTGTAGATTTGTCCACATAGTAATGACTTATAGAAAGCGTCTTGATACTGAAAATAAACACCCACGGTCTTTTCAGAGAGAGCATCTTTGTTCTACAGAATCAGATCTAATGGATTTCAAATTAGCAAAGTATACTGTTTATGAAAACACTGTATTCTTCAATTCATGATTCTGTTAGATTCAAAGCAAAAGTTCTGTAGCATCTTCTGTGCATTTCTAATGTGAACATACCCAGAGAGAAAAACTCAAGTGTCTCTGCTCTCATAGGGGCTTAATAGTAACTGAATACCTAGCTTATTTATTTATTAGCCTATGGAAAGGGAATTTTTTAAATCCTCTTAATTTTATAACAACAAAACAATACATTTATAAGTTAGCACTGGGACTATGTGCATTTTCCTTCATTGTCTTTATTAAGACTTGACAAATCCAGGTAAAGTTGTAGAATATTGATATAGGGGTTAGCATTACATTAACTATAGTATTGTCTTTACGATCCTTGGCTTACCTCTATGTTAGTGATTATTCCAACATTTTAAAATGCAAAATTGCATTCATATTTAAATTTAGCCATATAGCTTAGAATGAAGTGCTTTTTTTAACTTTCAAATTGTACCATTTCTTGACGAGTTACACATTAGTGACTCATGACCAACTTGCCTACATGTCTATGAGCTCCACATCAGTTTTGCCTTCATGTTCTGATGAAGATTTAATGAAAAAGATGTGGATCCTCAGATCAAAAATATCTTTAAGATTCCCAGATATCATATTTGTTATTTATATCTAATTTATCCAAACATGAAAGCTTTAACTTACACTTGGGCCCTTGTTTATTTTTTTAATCTATTTATTAAATGGCTAACTTCATTATAAAATATTTGGAGTCATATAACTAATTTCAGTTACATGAAATATATACCCCTTAGTGACAAAGCTATTTCTTTAAAATCTCTTTTATATTTGATATGAAGAATACATACTTTAAACCATCTGTTGTTCACTTCCATTGACGACCACGTCAATAGTGGGAAATAGGTGAACTGAGTGGTTTGTCATAACAAGTAGCCTGGTTATGGATAGAGGATCCATGAGTTAGAGTCAACTTTGTACAGCACTGTAGAATGTTGCCAGTCCCCAGTAGGTAAACCAAGTTCAATGAAAGAAAGAAAAAAATTGCCTGAATATGAACAGTTTCATTATCATAATTTTCTAAGAACATCTAGAATCAGGTCCAAATCTCAATGCCTCTAGACTTTGTATATGAATATATTGTAAAAAAAAAATACCTTACATCTTTATTTTTCCAATTTTTTAAACACCACTATCATGTCTACCATAACAGTTCTGAGAAGGCTGTAAAGAGAAAATGAGATGACAATGCCTGTGAGTTTTACAAATCACAAAATTGAAACAAGGATTATTAAACTTTTCCCTGTAAAAATAGATATTCATGCAAAGGAAGGGTAGAGTTAACACAATGGAGTCATAAGACATATCCATATAATCTCCCATCATGTTTTTTATTTTAGTTTGAAAATAAAGCTGGTTGCTTTGGTTTTTTTAATTGGCATTCTTTAAAAGTTAAGTCACTCATTAATCATCCTAGATGTGGAAATAATTTGTTATATTTTCATCATTCTTTGAGTCATTGTGTTTATAATTTTGCATCCGATTGATTTTGTATTTATAAAGCAATTTTTGAAGTTACTTCAAATATTGCTTAGCATTAATTTCTACTTAGTTAATTAAAGGGTCTCGGAAACTTTTCATATTGATTCATATTTTTGTTTTTGTTTTTTTGTGTGTGTTTTACTGCTTCATTGGGTTTAAGTCCCTATAACTGGTAAGTGTATTACAAAGAACTCTAGAAAACCTTTCAATGAAGTATTTAGTCACCGTTATTATTCTTAAATGTATAATAAGGATAATGATTAGTACATGTACCCTACTAGTAGTCACATTATTAGGTGGTTTAATGAGGTGGAAGTGTATTAAGATTAATAATTCATTTGTGATGATCTTAAGACCTCACTGCTGATTGTACTACTGTATTAAAGCTTAATGCAACATAAAAGGCACTGTCTATTTCATATTTGGGTAGGATGATCTGTAAGATTTGCAATATGGTTGAGTTTTGTGTTTTTCTCTAAGCTTTTTAACAACTGTAAGAATTTTCCTCCAGCCAGTAGCCTGTAAGTTTTAGGATTGCTCCTCAGAGCTTCAGACCCCTGGGTAATTTATTTCACCTTGGATAGTCCTCTATTTTGCTTCCCTGACACTATAAGTTCTCTTTATTTCTTGTCTTAAACTGGTTTTTCTGTGGGAGCACCTACACTAGTTGCTATACAATTTAATTTTACTGGTGAGATGTACATATTCTTAATGTCAGTCTATGTAATATTGTAGCAAATACAGATCAGTTGACTATAGCCTAAGAAGGGGTAATGTGCCTGAATAATGTTTGCTAGCAAATGTTTGTGCTCTAGAGGGTTGGGCAAAGCCTGAATAAAAGACATGAATATTTTAGGGTGGTAGGACACAGCAGAATGCACTAGTTTTGTTTTTTTCAGTGTGGTATTTTTGGGAATGAATGCGAAGAAATACATTCAGCTTAATAAGAGAGAGTAAAGATAAATGCAATCAAGCTAAATTATAGAGGCACACAAATCTGATTGTAGGGTTCTTTTTTTTTTTCCTCCTCCAGGAAGAAAAAATGTTTATCATGGGGACAACAATTCATTTTTTGCCATATCCTATTTGTAGAGTTGGTGATAGTACAGGCAAATGTACCAGCACTTGAAATATGTTAACTGTTAATTAAATATCATTCTCTTCAGTATGCATTATCATTAAAAACAAAAGTTCCCCTATGAGTGTACTTTCTTTTCTGTTAATGAGTATGACAGTATAATGCTTTTCAAAGTGACACCCCTTAAGACACTTGTTTTTTTTTTTTTTTCTTAAGTGGTAAGTTTAAATGTGATAAATATAAGCATGCTTATCATTGTAATGATTAGTACTTTTGGTCATTAAAATACTGTTTATTCTTCATAGGCAAAATGTTCTTGTTCTTTTCTTCCTCCTTATGACAGAAAGAAAACTGAATATTTATTTCAATTTTGACATAACACAATTGAGATGGAGGGGGTCCTACACTTAAATGTGGGTGGTAAGGGATTCAACTAATTTTAACCAATCTATTAACTGGAATATTTATTGAACTACTGATATGTACTAGAATTTTTTAAAAAAATAATAGCATCACACTGTCTCTATACTATCAGCATTCAGGGCTTAGGAATGAAAATAGTCAAGTAAATAATCAACATATAAGATGAAATGGCATGAAACCTATAGAAAATTAAGTAACCTTAATTCTCATCACTCCAGAGGGCCTGGGGAGGTACCCACAGTTTGCTCCAGCTCTCCCTGGTTTCTCTGTGTGGTGGCCAAAAGAGTCAAAGTATATTAACAATGATGTCAGTAATAATAAGGAGAACCTAAGGGGCAAAGACAATATAAATATGTGTGTTAGCTGACTAGCAGACCAAGTAGGTCAAGAGATGACCCTATCAGTACTCAAAATTCCCCACTAGGGTGTGTGTGTTGTGTGAAGAAGCCTAAGACGCCAGTGCCAGAAGAGCAAGAACAGCCATGAGGAGAATGGGTTGCTTAAGTCAGGCCTCTGAGGGAGGTTGGGCTCTGATTGGAAACGAGTTTGTTCAACTCAACAATGAAAGCACATTTCCAATTGACAACTTGGTCTTTTGGTCACCAACTTGTACTGCTTAGGACTACAGGTACAAAGAACAGTAAGAACTCAGCTAAACCTCCTCCTTGTGGACACTTGGTGAAAACATATGTCTCCTTACATCTCACAATATCTGTTGTCTTCCTGATATACCTGTCACATGCTCTGACTTCAACCCCCTGAGCTGAAGTGCAAGGCTGATAAATTTTATCTTTGTGGGGTTGCTGCTCTAGGCCTCTTTGGGCTGATATTTCTTGCCCCTCCTTCTGTTATCTTAAAAAAAAAGTCTCTTTGCTAGATGTATATTAAACAAGGTAACTTTATTTCTTTTTTTAATCTTCTGTGATATGAAAAATGCCAGATGAGAATCACAGTGCCACGGCAGAGTCCAGTCGCCTTCTGGATGTACCTCGCTACCTCTGTGAGGGAACAGAATCTCCTTACCAGACCGGGCAGCTGCACCCAGCCATCAGGGTAGCTGACTTGCTGCAGCACATTAACCTCATGAAGACATCGGACAGCTATGGGTTCAAAGAGGAGTATGAGGTAAATGCTTCAGTACTGTGATAAATTTGATTTTTAACATGACAATGGAACTCAGCCTAGGGGGAATGTAAAGCTCTGTGGCTTCTCTAGTCCAGTGGTTATGACCATACAATCAAATGTCTGGGGAAGAGGAATGAAATTTGAAAGAAATATAACTAGCTCTACATTCACTTTTGGATTGTATAATTTGTTTTCATTTGTTGTTAAATGCATGTCATTCGTTAGCCCTTCCTCCTCATTCCTCACTGACAAATCCGGTAGCAAGATACCTGGAGTTTCATTGCATCATTATGGACTCTGAAGCTTGAATGGTTTCATTAATGGGTTTTTCTCTACTGTCTCTTTGTTAACTGATCCTCTCATGAAAATGAAGTTATGTGCTTTCAATATGCTACTTGCCACTTAGTTTAATTTTGTTTGCTAAGAGTGTCGGAGAGGAAATTGCTCAGCAAATCAGCACACAAGATTCAGATGGCTAGGGGAAAATGCCACTTACAATACTTCTCTGTCCCACTCAAACCAAAATACCAGGATTTATCTTACAAAGGAAGTGATTTGAACCCAACATCCCTACAAACAGAAAAAAAAGAAGACTTTCCATTTATACCTTTCACATACTGAGAAATGTCAATCTGCAGTATGGAAGCTTGTCCATATGCCTGCCTACACCTACCATATTGTATGAATTTTAGACATAAAGGATACAACCAAACTCCATCCAACTTTATGAAAGAGAAATCATTTAAATTCTACATGTTACCTACAGACTACTTGTGTGCCTTAATTTGGGAGTGAATTATCTTTCAATTTTAAATATTGATTTTTACATATATGCTGAAACATTATACTTTAATAATAAAATAAGTTCAGGGATTGCAGTATTCTGCCAGAGCTGTTTTTTTTTTTTTATTCATTTCATGTGAAGTCCTGTGTACTTTGCTTCAAAGACCACTGGCTCTTTGAACCCCTCATTTCCTGTATTGAGCAAAGTTGACGTTTTTCTGCAAAAGGAAATCCTTACCCATATTTTTAATTGTTACATACACTAAGCAAACCAATCAGCAAATTCATCTGTTCCTAGATTCTTGGAGAAAGAAACTCTTTATGTGTCATATGGTCTCTTGTTGCAGAGACTCAATCTTGTGCATGATTTTCAAAGAAACTAAAATGTGATGTATTGCACATGATTAAATGAATAATTATATGTGGTTTTCTCCTGTTATAAATGCTAATGAGCTCATTTGAAAGATACTCATTAAAATAGTTTTTGCAATTTTTTGCTGCATTATCACTCACTGTATTTTGAAAAGAATGATCATTTTCTCCTTGGGTCTCACAAAGTTAGAGCTACATTCATTTGAAAACTTTCAAGATCTTGTTTTCTATACAGTTTTTATTTTGTCCTTTATTTGAACTCAACTCAATCCAGGATGAACAAGAATGAGTCCCACAAGCCAGCTATGAGGTCTGAGAAAGAAACTTGTTTCCTGCTGTAGGAATCCCCTTTACCCTGAGAAAGCAGCTTTTACTATTTTAATCTTCAAAACCGATAAACCTGTTTTGAAAAATGGAATTAATTTTAATCTACTTTTTCCCCCTTTAGAGCTTCTTTGAAGGCCAATCAGCATCTTGGGATGTAGCAAAAAAAGATCAAAATAGAGCAAAAAACCGCTATGGGAACATTATAGCATGTAAGTTCTCATAACATTCTTGGTGAATTTAAATATTATGTGTACAAAAATAAATCATGACTGGCAATTTTTCCTTACATGATTTTACATTTCCAGAAAATACTAGCGGGTTATTTCTAGACATTTCTTACTAGATAATAATCTATTTAATATTAAAAACAGCACTGGCTATTAACAGTGACTCAGGATTGTCATAATCCTCATTAATTAATTTGATAAAACCCCTGACCTGATGAAGAGAACTTGCTGTTTGATTTCATATTTGTGCATCTATGAGGTTGTTATCAAATAGCTAAGAATATGAAGATAATGAAAAGGACTTTTTTCAGTTATAAATTACTGAATTTACTCCTGTAAAATTTATAATTTTCTCCTATAAACTACATTCAAGGCTGGAAGTGTATTCTTTCCACATAACTTTATTCTTTACCAGGAGCTGAACTCCAGTACATCATTTTAGGCTTCCTCCTGATTAGGTCTTCACATTGTATACATTAGAAAAATAAAGTCATCATCATTGGAAACCACATTACAGTAAGGACTAGATAGTTTAACTTGTAATTAGCTTACAATCTCCTTAAACCATTCTATTCTGAATTTACATTATTTTAAATTATCTAAAATACCTCAAAATGTAACCTTGAACTCTTAAGAATGAAATATATGCAGGGCTCAAAATTCATCCCCTAGTTCTGTTTAAAATCATCCTTAAAGAGAAAAAGAAAAAGACATTAAACCAGCCAGGCATCAGTGGCTCACACCTGTAAACCTAACTGCTTTGGAGGCTGAGATCTTAGGATCATGGTTTCAAAGCCAACTGGAGCAGGAAAGTCTGTGAGACTCTTCTTTCCAATTAATCATCAAAACATCAGAAGTGCAGCTGTGGCTCAAGTGGTAGAACATATTAACCTCTAGTTGATAAAGCTCTGAGTTCAAGCCCAGGACCTTCCAAAAACAAGCAACAACAACAACAAACATTGCAATAAGTAATGAGCTCATTATTGTTCTTGCATTTCCTTAAATGGCTGATTAGATAGTCGTAAATTATGCATGGAGTATTGGCAAGTATGGATTGCAGAAACTGAGTTACTTTAAATCTCTCCTAGTGACATTGTCTGGAGAGGAATATTAATAGCTTTCATTTTATTATTTAAACATTTTAGATGATCACTCTAGAGTAATTTTACAACCTGTGGAGGATGATCCTTCTTCAGATTACATCAATGCCAACTACATAGATGTAAGTAATTTTTATAGCATGTGTTTCTATAGTATGGCCACATTATCAGCTTGTAACTGAACCCTTTTGCTTATATTACGTATAAAGTGATTTGCTGCCTTTTAAAATAAAGAACAAACTGTACACTTTGCCCTGTTCTACGTCCCAGTACTTACTGATGTTGTTGTGCTTTCTTTCACACCTGACTTTGGTTTGGGCTGTAGATTTGGCTGTACAGGGATGTAAGTACCACTATATGTAAATAACAGCACTCTATTGTGAATATTTAATATGAATATATTCTTAATTGCAGTTGTTACTAATGCTTACTAGTTACTTATGCATGCTTCACCTAATTAGTCTCATACAGTATATGTCTCATTTTTTTGTAATTCTTGCACATGTGTGAAGATCTATTTTACCTCCTTCCCTTTCCTCGTTTAGAAAACAGGATCATTTTTTTGGCTTCGACAATTTATTACGTACTTGGGTTTTATTTGTTGATGATTTCTGTTTCTGGCTTTTATTCTTTACCTTTCCCTGAACACATGTGAGAAGCTGGATAGTATGGATAGTATGATGTGTATTGGAGTTTCTGGATTTTTTATTTTGCATTTGACCTTGGATGTTTAAAATAAGCAGGGATAATATTTTGTGGTATGTAGTGTTGGCTTGTAAAGCAGTAGAACTAATCAAAATAATTACTAAGTTGCAATTGTAAAATCCACACATCACACACATACATTATAAAAGAAAAGGAAAATTTGTGCACCTCAGTCACCTGTTAAATTTAGGTTACATACATATATATAGGTAAATTCTTTAAGGGAAAGTCATTGCCAAGTGAAATATAAAACTTGCAAAGAGGATGTAGGGAGGATAGGTTCTTTGGCTCTACTACCTCATTCAAAATCACCCTGAGAATCTAATGAAAGTTGCTCCTCTGTGACTCAATTCCTCATCTTTACAGTGGGGGAAATAAAAGTAGTACTAACTCACTTGTTAAGGGAATTAAAAGAAGCATGCATTTTAAATGTTCAGACAATGCCTACCAAGTGTCAAGCTCTCATTTGGCTTCAGCTACTTTTTTCACAGTTAAAATGGAGATGCTGAGTTTGATTCAAAGTATGCACATTTCTACAGCAAACTGTAGAAGTGCTGTATTACAGCACTGTGTGTAGCTTTTGTATGTAAAATATGAAATATAACAACCAATTTTTCCTAATTCATAAAATTAGAAAATAATTTTTGTAGGCCTTTATACAGTTATTTTGATAGTTACATTTATTTAACTGAATTAATGATTAAGTATAACTCGATATGTCAGTTAAGTTGCTGATTATAATCTTATATTCATTCAGTATCTAAATTTGGCATGTCTTATGGACACTAAGGTAGTTATTTGATCTTTTTTTTTTTTTTTTGAGGTCCTGAGATTTGAGCTCAGGACCCTGTGCTAGCTACAGAAGCACTCTACTGCTGAGACACGCCTCAGTCATTTTTGGTGCTTAGTTTTGAGACAGAGTCTTATTTCCTGCAGAGGCACATGCCAGGAATGTGATCCTCCTATTTTAGTCATCTCATGGTAGCATGATGACAAGCATAAGTCATTACTCCTAGTTTCTTCCATTGAGACAGATTTTTACGCATTTTTTTCTTCCCAGGCTGGCTTTAAACTTGAATCCTCCAGATCTCATCCTCTGAAGAAGTTAGAATTGAAGACATGAGCCACAGATATTTGACTATTGGTGTACTCTTAGCCTTAAAAAAAAAATCACATTTCTTTGACAACTTATAATTGTTCTTAGCAACTTAGTTTAACCTGAGTTTTCTGCCAAGACATAAACTGGAGCCTTATTACAATATTGTTTTATGGATCTGATGGTCCAACTATATTCTCAATAAGTCTTGTTATCCAGTCTTTCTGCTAAAACTCCACTGTGTTTTGGCTGATAACCACACAATATTATAATTTCCTCTCCTAATCACTTATTAAGCTTGAAAGCCACTTGAAACTGGTAATTATTTCATTAAAAACCTTACAGTTTATAAAGCTTGAATGTTTTTCCATAAAATATCTGATGTTGGCATATTAAGAAATAGAGATCTTCAAAATTTGCAGCAGTATAATGCACATTATTAAATTTTAGGTTGGGGAGCCCAATTAGCAGGTATTTAAAGGTGTATTATGTTGCCCACACCAAAATGTGGACATAGCACAGACTGCCACTAAAGACTGTAATAAAACTGAAACAAGTGCACAACCTAGTTCCATCATCCCAATAGTACTTTTCAACTTACAATTTGCTGCAGGTCAATTCATTATAAAGCAATTAGCAACTCATTCCTTATTGGGAATAATTTATTGGAACAATATTTCATGTTTAGATAAGCTTTTGGCACAGTGGGAGGAAAATACAAAACTTTTAAGGTCCACTTTGGAAACTCTTCTTTGTGGATGCGTGCATCTGTAATTTTGTGTGTGCAAATCACCATTGTCAACACACAACAAAATTCTTTTATGCAGATTTCTGAACATGTTACAGAACAGAAATAATTATCTAAGAAAACCTTAGCAAGATTTTGATTTGAGACATGCATGCATTGTCCAGCTCTAACATTGGAATGTTCTGTTATTTTTATTTTTTTATGGTTCTAATATGTCCTCGTCCATTTGTAATGCAGTGTGTTGTACTTTTGGATGATGAAATAAGAATTAATATCTCAAACACAGTTTTGCTAAGTGTGAATGACTAAAGATTAACATGAAGGCATAAACAACTTAGTGAAACTAAACAAAATCTATGAAGGTATTCCATAGCAATCAAAACTCAATTAATTATACAATATATTATATTCTAATCTGAACTCTTTTTAAATATTCAATTTTTGTTCTATGTTTACTTTTCAGATGGCATAGGTTTGAGAAGTGAACTGTGTGTTCACTACTCATTTCTGGACTTTTTCTATAACTTAATCTTAACAGGTGGTTGTCTTCATCTTTTTATGCCTTCATTCATTTGTTTCTGGTACTGATGTAAAATGATAACCAATTTGATCTCCTATTTTAGGGCTACCAGAGACCAAGCCATTACATCGCAACCCAAGGTAAAACTTTTTTTTTCTTAAATACTGTAGCTTAGATATAGTTGGAATATTTATCCATGTGGGATTATTTTTCATTTTGATAAGAATTAAATGAAAAACTGTCAGTCCTTAAAATGACACTGCACTTGTTGCATTTTGTAGTACAATATTTTATCTGTGTAAACTTATATAAATTTATGCTTTATTTTGTAGAATTAAAATATGGGGCTGGATGGATGGTTCAAATGGTAGTGTGCCTATCTAGCAAGGCCCTGAGTTTAAACCCCAGTACCAACCAAAAAAAATAAAAAGAAAAATAAATGTGAAGTTGCTGGGTGCCTCAGAAATTTGGTCCTTTGTGTCCAGAGAGCTCAAAGGACTAGTGAATAGTGCTGGGAGAGGAATTACTGATGATAAGGAAGTGGACTCTTCATATGTAAGGTCCCTGTCTTCCAGAAGACTTTTGTCAGCCTGGAATCTAATAATACCCCAGACCAATATTGTTATAATGAAATATTACACTGTCTTCTAGCAATTTCTTGGCAAGTCAAGATAAGACAGAGCTGGAGGGAATTTCAGCAAGTTTATTTCTCATGAAAAATAATAACAAAGTTAGTAAAGCTTACAGAGGTTCACTAGAAATAAAAGTATCCAAGCAAAGAAATATATACTTTGTTATTTCTCCAAATGGACTATTGACAATCAAAAAAGAAACTCGCAGATCTGTTTTGTGCATAAAGAAACTAAAACAAAAGTCTGTATCTGGTTTTGTTTGTTCATGTGTTTGTTTTTCTTTGTTGGTTGTGGAGCTTGAACTCAGGGCTGGGGCATTATCCCTGAGCCTCTTTGTGCTCAAGGCTAGCATTCTACCACTTGAACCAGGAGGCACTTCCCTGATTTGTTTTGTTTTGCTTTTTAAATAGAGGTAATTTTCTAAGTGTTTAATTGCATACTATCTAAAGTTTAAAAAGTCATCTAGAGGGGAACTAGAATAACAAAACACTGAAACAAGGACACAGGATGGCCCATTGCAACAATGATATCCACAAGACAGTATACTGGAAATGAACCTTACAACTTGGGGGACTGGGGGAGGAGTGTAGGAGGTGGGGGAAGGAGAGATGGTGGGAAAACAACAAGGGGAAACAATGCTTGACAAGAAATGTACTCATTACCTTACTCATGTAACTGTAACCACTCTATACAGCATCTTTACAATGAAATAAAATTTAATAAATAAATAAAAAAGTCATCTAGTGGGCTGAAGTTTTATAGTACTCATCAAAGTGTAGTCTAGCCTATGGTTTTGTAGCTTGGGGATAATCCAATATATTGGGATGTGTCCTATGTAAGGACACATCAATTCATCAACTTCTAACTATGTACTATTTACAAATGATGGAAAATTATTCAGCTAGTAGTTAAATAATAATAACTTGTTGCTAATTTATTATTAATTGGTGATTTATCATTACTGATGAATAATTTGTCAGGAATTAATATGCTGATTGGTTAATGGTAAAATAAAAGTTCTGTTTTTCATATAAAGGCACACTGGACTGACTTAGTAAAAGATCCTAGGACATAGTAATTCTTTTTAACTGAGAATAAAAGGCATGTTGAAGAAAAAAGAAAAGCAACTTACATATGTCTGTGTTTTCCTGTGTGATAAATGTATCTATGAACTGAATTTAAGTCATTTCATTAACATTTAGGCTTTATCTTTTTTAGTTTATTTCATTTCCTGTGCTTCTTACTGACTACAAGATTTGTCTAGTATCATAATAAAACTAATTAACATACAATATATAATGAATGTCTTTGTAGGCCCAGTTCACGAAACGGTGTATGATTTCTGGAGGATGGTCTGGCAGGAGCAATCTGCCTGTATTGTTATGGTTACGAATTTAGTTGAAGTTGGCCGGGTAAGAGAAAAAGATTTCTTTTAATAATAAATGGAAGTATAGTTGAGAGGCAGCACATGAGTTGATGAACAGAAAATGTCATCAAATTGTGTAAAAATAATTCATCAGCATACTATTTCAAATGAATGCTTCTACAGTGGACCTTATTTGGCAGAGAATTATTTGATGTCTCACTAATTGTTTAAAGTATGTACTAAATTACATGCGAAAATTATTATTCTAAAATTATATTCTAAAATCTAATTGCATTACTATGTTTATGTGTTTTTATGGAGTACATAAATCTAACATTTTTTTTCATTTGTTAATGTGTTTCTAACTGGATTTTAATGGTAACTTAATCTGTTACCTGGAACTTAGATACTCTTGACTAATTTTTACTATGTATTTATGTCTACCTGTTCTTTTTGGTCATGTAGGTTAAATGCTATAAATATTGGCCTGATGATACTGAAGTTTATGGTGACTTCAAAGTAACCTGTGTAGAAATGGAACCACTTGCTGAATATGTGGTTAGGACATTCACCCTGGAAAGAGTAAGTACTGGGGAATTCTAGTAAGAATATCTATACTGAAATGTTTTCCTCTGAAGATCTCTGTCATGTTTTGTGAAATTCATTCATTCATTCATTCCTTTGAGACCTAACTCTGTGTCAGCTCTATTTTCTAAACCTTAAGACAAAGAAAAATCTCTACTCTTGTGGAAAAATAGTAATAGTGTATCACCCATCTGTTAATGGGAGATGGGCAATAATTATTTTTTTAAAAGGAAATATGTTATACAACATGAAAAGTGCAATGATATAAGAAAGAAATAGTACTGGAAATTCAAATATGGAATATTATGGAGGTAAGGTAAGAAAGGTTTTACAGTTTCAAAACTATGATCAGGAAGGACTTCTTGAAAGCAACATGAGCAAGAGCCTAGAGAAAATAAGAATTTGATAAATTGTCAAGGGAAGAGTATGTGCGTGTGTGTGTGTGCGCACACACGCATGTATGTGTATGTGTGTGTGTGTATGTCATTTGTGGTAGTGAGACTGTCTAAGAAGATTGAAATAGGGTGTGACATTAGGGAGTGAATAAGATAAATACCATGCACCTGTGAATTGCAAACTGTAATTCACTGAAAACTCATGAATGAAATAAAGGGTAGTATGGATGGGGAAGATGAGAAAAAACTAAACGCCTTGAAGAATTATCATGCACTTAAAAAGTTTTATGACAGGAATGCAAAACAAGTCCTGTTGAGGACAGGAGTGTGAGTACTAATGGGCAGGAGAGGGAGAACAGAGTGGATGAAAGAGGATGGATAGGTCAAAATACTTTATAGGTGTGAAAATAGAACAGTAAGGCCTTTTGAGATTGGTTTGGGAAAAAGTTGAGCAGAAAGAAGAGTTAAAAAAGGGTTTGGGAGAAAGGAGAGTACTTGAGAGGAAGACTATAACAGGAAGAATGATGTAGAAAATGGAAGCAGAACATAGACAGAACAACTTTACATTCATAAACTACTTTGTTAAGTAGCAACACCTTTGTACAACTAAAGATAATAAAATTTTTTAAAGAAGAGCTTCATAGGTTTGACCACACAAATGTTTTACCTGTATCAAATAAATAAATAAAACAAGTGCTTACCTTGCATGCATGAGGCCCTGGGTTCAATGTCTCCACACCACATAATCAGAAAAAGCCAGAAGTGGGACTGTGGCTCAAGTGGTAGAGTGCTAGCCTTAAGCTGAAGAGCTCAGAGACAACAACCCACACCCAGAGTTCAGACCCCACAACCAAAAAAAAAAAAAGTCAAAAGACCACATGTGTGATTATCAATACCATTGATTAGTGTCTCTGAAGACAGGCTACCTATTAAAAATGTTTACACTTAAGCCATATTAGCAGTTCCCACCTGTAATCCTCACTTCTCAGGAGGCTACGACCCAGAAGATCATGATTCAAACTAGACTAGGCAGAAAAGTCAGTAAGACTCCATCTTCAGTTTACCCACAAAATGCAAGAATGGAGATAAGGCTCAAGTGGTAGAGCAGGAACCATTAGCAAGCAAGCTGAGTTCAAACCCCAGCAGCCATATCAAAAAAAAAAAAAAGTGTTTAACCTTCTATGCAATATGCTATTTTATAACCTCACATAAACACGTAACTTAAGAAAGAATAGTAACCCTATTTGTATTGAGATAGGTATTTTACATGTTGGTAATCGTAGTTAAATTGTTTTAAACCCTCTATAAATCAATAAAGCATTGAATATTTCAGTTTTTAAAATATTTAGACTTCTATGCAGTTTATACCCTTTGTAAGCCAATCCTTGGGGAATTACTTATTTCATTTGCAAATTCTTTGAAATTAAAATGAAGACTAAAATGAAGATCACTATAAACCCCTAGCAGTAATAGTTAAACATACTATCTAGAAATAGCATTCTTTACCAGTGATTTTGAAAATAATCCCCCCTACATAAAAAAAGTGCTTAGAGAAAAATACTAAGTAAATGGTAGCAGTGTACAGAACAACATAATTACAATGATCAGAACTCAAAAATATAAATGGAAATTTCTTAGGCATATTGTAGTAGAAGAATATAAGCAATGACAGAGAAGATTTTAATCACTTAGCTTGATTTAATGAATAATTAGAAGTCATTCTTATTTAAAGAAGTAGAATATGCATTTTCTTAAATCTATGTCAAATAATTGTACTTTAAAAATTATTCATGAATTTAGTCATGAAGAAAGCTATTTCACTGGCACGAACAGTAACCTACAACTTTACAAATTAGCTTTTTAGAAGTCATCAAACCCTTGTTTGAATACATTGTTGGATGATTTCCTCAAAACTAAAAATTGTATTTAAAAAAAGAATTCATAGTGAAAAAAATTGTATTGCATAGACCAACAATTTTCATAAAAATTTGCCTCATTATTACTCTCTAAGAAAATGATATATGTTCATAAATGACTTCTTTCTTGAAAGCCATTTAAATCCTGTTGAAAATCATAAAATTAGAAAACCAGAAAACATCAATATAACAAAGAAAAAAATAAATATAGTTGTGGAATACAAACAAGAAAAACATAAATTAAATTCCTAGTTTCTTGAGAAGATCAATAAATTGACTAAATCACTCATTTCTAAACAAGGCAAAATGAAAAAATCATAATATTCTATAAAGTCAACTCAGTCAGGAAACACAAAGAAGACCTAATGACAGTTTTGTATTTACTATTAGAAAAAAACTATAAATGAAAATATTACATATGAACTTCAGTGTAGATTTTATTCATCTTATTCCAGAGACAAATTTTAACTCAAAAAGTTGGCCTACATATAGAAAAAATGCAAACAAATCAACATCTCACCCCTGTTAGAATGGCCATTATAAAGAAGACTAACAATAACAGATGTTGGTGGGTTGTGGCCAAAAGGGAATGCTGCACTGTTGATGGAATGTAAATTTGTTCAGCCACTCTGGAAAGCAGTATGGAGGTTCCTCAAAAGACTAAACATGGAGCTCCCCAATGACCCAGCAATCCCACTCCTAGGCATTTAACCAAATGACCACAAACAAGGCCACACCAAAGCTACCAGCACAACCATGTTCATTGCAGTATTATTTACCATAACTAGACTATGAAATCAACCCAGATGCCCCTTAGAAGATTTATGCATCAAGAAAATGTGGTAAATAGACACAATGGAATTCTATTCTTCCCCCAGAAAAAATGACATTGTCCCATTCATAAGAAAATGGAATGACTTAAAAAATCATATTAAGTGAAGTAAGCCAGACCCAAAGAAACATAGGCTGCATAGTTTCCTTCATTTGTAATAACTACAATATGTCTAAGATATTCTTAGTAGAGGATAACAGTGATTCAATAGCTATGGGCATATGACCATTTGTTAAAAAAAATGAACTCCCAAGACTTGGAAGCAAGAGGGTTTTTTAATTATTATTATACTGCTTGCAGTTATTTCTTTTTTCTTTCTTTTTCCTTTTGGTTTAGTCCCTGTTGTTTTTGTACCCTTTGTCTTGTATATAAGTTTATCTGACTTGGGAAAGGGAAGGGAAATCATAGAAACAGTGGGACAAAGGACGAACCAATGTAACTTACTTACTAGGAAATGAACTTTACAACTTGTGAGGGAGGGGAGTCAGGAAGGAAGGAGTGGGAGAATATGAGGAGGGAGAGACACTGTTCACAAAGAAATGTACTCATTACCTTACTTTTGTGACTGTAACCCCTCTGTACATCTTCTCCTTTACAATAAAATTGTTTAAAAAATTGGTACAAACAGAAATAAACAAGTGGTAGAAGGAAAGGGGATGATGGTTAAATTTACTGTTAAAGTTGAACTATAGTTTTATAGTTCATTCAACTTTCCTTATCCTTTTAAAGAATAGCCAATGCTAATACTATTGAAACCATTTTGGCCAAAGAAACACATTAAAATCAACAAAGTACATTTTAAAATCTCTCATAACAGTGACAATAGAGCTATCTAAAATAGACAAAAGGATCAGACTAGAGAATTAAGTAACAGAACACCAGTGGGACAAGAAAGCAAGCTGAGCAAATGCAGGTCTTGAGTTCTTAATAGTACTCTATGAAGCTTATTGGCACAGAGACTTTCTTTTTGATCACTCTGTTTCTCTAGTACACACACAATGCAGTCAGTTTCATTCAAAACCAGGAATGAATTTAAAAATAAATGCTTAAAATGTTAATCCATCAGTGAAGTAACAAAATCTCACTGCATGACTAGTATGGATAGAAGGATATTTTAACCATTGGAGGAAGCCTAGCAAGATATTTCATTATACTAGTCCACTAAGGGTGAAAACTATATGATCTTATTAATAGATTAATAAATTTAGTTTTATTTAAATGATGTTTAATATAATAGGAAAATAAGGAAACTTTGTAACCATGATAAAGCAATAACCAGTAGCATATATCTTCAGGAGTGGAATACTAAAACCTATTAAGTTTACTTATAACCAATGTAAAGGGTATTACTGCTATTGACACTAGGAAAGTGATGTGAATATTTAGTCTTACTAGTACTTAATGTTATAGGAAATTTCAGCAAAGTAAATAAGAATCAAAAAAATAATCTGTAAACCGGGCACCAGTGGCTCATGCCTGTACTCCTAGCTACTCAAATCTGAGGATAACGGTTCAGAGCCAGCCCGGGCAGGAAAGTCAGTGAGACTCTTATCTCCAATAAACTACTCAAAAACCGGAAGTGGTGCTGTGGCTCAAGCAGTAGAGCACTCTCCTTGAACTGAAGAGCGCAAGGACAGCGCCCAGGCCCAGAGTTCAAGCCTCATGACTAACAACAACAACAAAAAATCTGTAACAAATTAGAAAAGACAAAATTATTTCAGTGTCAAAAGATTTTATATCCAGAAAACTAATACTATTTTAAATGAAATGAAGAAACATTTAAACTATCTAATGAGAAATACTAATAAATGATTATTTTCTGTACTAACAATAAACTGCAAAATACAGTTTAGCACTGGTTCATAAAAATAAAAACACCATAATATCTTTGAATTTATTTAACAAGATTAAGTCCTAATGAATAAAACATGAAAGCATTTTAGAGGACATGTAATAAGTATTGAATGGAAGGACAGCATGCAATCAGAATATGGGAGTCCTTGACATCAATATCACTACACAGACGTTTTTTGTTTTTTGTACCAGGCCTGGGTCTTGAGCTCAGGGTCTGTATGCTATCCCTGAGCTTTTGCACTCAAGTCTAGCACTCTACCACATAAGCCACCATTCCACTTCCAGCTTTTTTGTGGTTAATTTCCACAGACTTCCCTGCTGCTGTCCTCAGATATCAGCATCTTGAGTTGCGAGGATTAAAGAAGTGAGACACAGCACCCAGCTCACTGCACAGATTTTATATTGCAGTGGCAACATCATGAGATTTTTAGTTTTACGTTTTTTTCCTCATTATTGAGAATGCAAAACAGTAATTTGAGGCACACACATATTTTGTCAGCCCAGAAGGGACTTCGGATAAAAGACTGATTAGGAGAAAATCAGCCATGTAGAAGGAAAAAAAAAATCACTTTAAGAAAGAAATCTTTTCTGAATAACAGGAGAATAAAAAAGGACTGAGTACCATTATAGCTATACTGGCAAAATAGTATCATAGGAAACATTTTAAAAAAATAGTCTACCACCTTTATTCCTATAGTTGTCTTGCAAAATAAGGGAGGGAAAAGAATAAGAAGGTGATTTTTTTGTCACTTGTGGGATTTGAACTCATTGCCTGTGTGAGCTTTTTCACTAAAGGTTAGAGCTCTACCATTTGAGCAACTGCACCACTTCCAGTTTTCTGGTGGTTAACTGGAGATAAGAGTCTCGACAACTTTTCTGTCCAGGCTGACTTCAAACTGTGATCCTCAGATCTCAGTCTCCTGAGTAACGAAGATTATAAGCATGAGCCATCAGCACCCAGCTTGATCATCTCTTATTTCTATGATTCCATGACAGTGTTTATCATGGAATTATTATATTATTATATATTTTATATTATATCATTATATGTATGATCACTAGTTTCCAAAGAAGGTCATATTGGTTAACACTAAAGTTAAACAGCCCTTCTCTGTTCAGTTTGTTTATTTCATATAATGTGTTTGCCTTTTCTGATGGAGGTGATGAGACTGATGGCCTCATAGGAAGCGCACAGTAGACGTAGACTAGTATTGATGATAGCAGGTCCGTTTCTATAAATTGAATTCTTTAGAAATGAACTTTGCAGTCATCCACCTACGCTCTCCTAGCTTTGCTGCCCCCAAATCTACCTTCTTTTATCCAAAAAAAAAAAGGAAAGAGAAAGCTTTAAAATATATATTTACATGGTTCCCTTCCATTAGCCCAATAGGCAAGATGGACAGCAATGACAGCCTCACGTCTTTCATTGTGTTGTTTTGTTATGTGCTGAATTACTTCACAGAGAGAAGAAAAATAGTTTACCCAAAGAACAGTTTAGCTGTCTATATGTTTTCACAAACCAATCTAGAGCACCACTGTCCTGGAAAATCCCTACATGCTATGCTTTAAAACCATTTTCAACTTGGATAAGCAAAGCATTAAAATCTCTCAGTGAGGTGAGAAGGTGGGAAGTCACTGCTCTATACTGCTTGAGAATTCAGCAAGTGGGTCAGTTGGGCAACATTTAGGCTTTAGGGTTTCCCTACTTTTCCCCTAATAATTTTTTTTTTTAATTTTATTTTATTTTATTTGAGAACATACTGTACAGAGGGGTTACAATTACATGGGCAGGATAATGCATACATTTCTTACCAAGCATTGCAGCCTCCTCCTTTGTTTACCCTTCACCTCCCTTCCCAGCCTCCCCCCCACTCCCACCCAATCATACCCCCCCACTCCCCCCCCACCGACATTGTAAAGCTGGTTTTGACATGACATTTTGTACTTCTCATTGTTGCAACAGGTCCACCTGAATCCTTATCCCCTAATAATTTTATGTGTTGTGATTCACCGTCAGAAGCAAGCCGTCAGGATTAATTTTATTTACCTTGGCTTAACAGAACTAGTACCAATTGTCTGAAGACAAAGGTAGGCCAGGTTGAGCCAGAAAAGGCCAGGTTAAGCCTTGTTTAGAAAAGGCACTATCTCTGGTCAGTGTTTAATTGTTATTGCTATCCATCAGTTCCACTACCCATAATTAGATCAAATGGCTTATTTTGTCTCCCGTGAATTCACTCTTTCGGTCTTCGCACAGAGGGCGTACAATGAAATTCGTGAAGTGAAGCAGTTTCATTTCACCGGCTGGCCTGACCATGGAGTGCCATATCACGCTACAGGGCTTCTGTCCTTTATCCGGAGAGTCAAGTTATCCAACCCTCCTAGCGCCGGACCCATCGTGGTGCACTGCAGGTGAGTGTCGGTCCACATGCATTCACTCCACGCACTCAGCTTTTGAGAAGAGTATCAACTCAAGGCTTCTCAGCACAGGCGCTACTGTGTGCTTACACAGTTCCTGGTTGCAACATGTGTAACAGAAAACACAAAACTGCAATAAAAGAAAAGTTTGCTCTAAGTAGGATATAAAACAGAAATTAGAAGATGCATACATTCATCTTAATGTGTGCGGTGTTACCCACCATTATCAATGTGGAAACTGCCTTTTAGCGCAACATCTGTGTTTGGGGGGATTTGTGTCACTTTTGTAAATCCAATATTGTGTGGGATGGTAGGTTAAAGTAGAGATTCCTTGTCAATCTAGTCAATTCCCACTACAACTCTAGCTTTTAAAGCTAAATTTGAAACATACAGAGTTACTAAGTGGCCTAAATTGCAAGAATTTGTGCCGTAAAGCAGCTATTTAAAGTTTTCTTTTTCAAAACACCATCTATCAGAGGACCTTGAAAACTACATCAGTGAGATTCACTGAATATATGCCAAAAATCATGAGCATTATATCCAGGTTTCTGATTAGAAGCTTCTCTTAAAACAAGCATTCTGAGACATAAAACAAGCTATATGTCCTCATTTTTCAGATGAGATAAGGAAAAAATAATAAGTATAGAATCTGAAAAGCTTTTCTAAATGCCACATACCGTCTTCAAACATTACTACCTCCAAACTACATAATAGGTTCTATTTAAGAACATTTTTCTCTCAGAAAATACAACTTATCAGGATTTAACTGACCTGTATGAAAGGTGGAAGAAACAGTAGAATAAGGCAAAGGCAAAGCATTCCGTAAAGATCTGATACTGTGCTCCTTGAGAATAAATCTTCATTTCAATCTTCTTGGAGAAATCTGATGTAGTCTTCAATTACTTTCCTGTCTCAAGCATGAGAGCAGTGATTGAGAAGATGTTAGGGGACAAAGAAATAGAGATAGCCACAAAGTCTCTTGCTTAAATGTCTCTAAGAACAATGAGTATAAGAGAAGTAACTGAATCTGGATAACAAAGAAATAATGCCATTAGCTTTCTAAGCATTTAGAAAAGGTTTTCAATTCAAGGAAAAATTCAGGAGTCAACTTTCTCATGAACTGCTTGCTTGCAAAGTCGTCCAGAATTCTCACACCCTCTCCTGAAACAGAAGTAGCATTTTCCTACACACGTGGGCATCTCTACATTTATGGAAAAGCAGAAACTGCCTGCAATGTATCTAAAAATTAAAAAAAGAACAAACCTTTAACTTGTTTGCTTCGTTGACTTCCACATATAAAATTGGAAGTATATTTGCAAAAGCTAAAATAAAGTATAATTATGACTTTTTAATGAGATATAAGATAATGCCTATCATTGTAACCTATGTAAAACCATATTCTACACCTCACAATTCATGCCTAGTTTCCCTACAGACCATGATTTAAATAGCCATTGTCCGAATGGGCTTTCCTTCTTATGTAACCTGGCAGTTCCTGTGCATGGTGGCCCCTGACTTCCCATCTGTAAACTGTGGCCTGACTATTCTTTCACCTTGGTGTTGAAAGGAGTCTCTTGTAGATACCAAGCCAGCATTGTCACTTTGTTGTTGGAGAACCCATACACAGAAGAGTACAGATTTCAGTGTGTAGTTAAACTTAGCGCATCAATCCAATTCTTCCCATTCGTTTACAAAACCAATTAGCATAAAACGCAGATGTTGTGATGTTAGAACTAGAGTGACATACACACATCATTCGGAAATGATTTGGAGCTCAAATTCCAATCTTAATTTTTACACCAAACCAAATACTCCATGTGAAGTTGCTTGTGAATTCCTAAGTCTGCACATAGTGTATATACAAAATGTGCCTTGCACTCTGGTTACATCAGTTTGATTTCACTTTATTTGAAAGTGAAAAATATATTTAAGGCTACAAAGACAAACACTCACACTTTTTGTTAACATCTGGTGATTTTCAGTGCTGGTGCTGGACGAACAGGATGCTACATTGTGATTGACATCATGCTGGACATGGCTGAAAGAGAGGGTGTGGTTGACATCTACAACTGTGTCAAAGCTTTAAGATCTCGTCGCATCAATATGGTCCAGACAGAGGTATATTGACTCACTGATACTAAATAATGTTTCATTTTGATTTTTTTGCCTTTTGAAACAAAAAATTCTATATTTTTCATATATAATGGTCATTCAGCTCATCAAGACATAGGAGAATTCAGCTATCTTAATTACATGCTCACGATCCTCTTGCTTCTACAGAGAAGTTTTTTTGTTTTTAAGATATGATGAGTGTAGCCGGGCGCTGGTGGCTCACGCCTGTAATCCTAGCTACTCTGGAGGCTGAGATCTGAGGATCGCGGTTCAAAGCCAGCCCGGGCAGGAGAGACCGTGAGACTCCTATCTCCAATAAACCACCAGAAAACCGGAAGTGGCGCTGTAGCTCAAGTGGTAGAGCGCTCTCTTTGAGCTGAAGAGCTGAGGGACAGCGCCCAGGCCCAGAGTTCAAGCCCCATGACCGACAAAAAAAAAAAAAGATATGATGAGTGTTTCTGCTTTCTTTTGGTAGGAACAGTACATTTTTATTCATGATGCCATTTTGGAAGCCTGTTTATGTGGAGAAACTGCCATACCTGTCTGTGAATTTAAAGCTGCATATTTCGATATGATTAGAATAGATTCCCAGACAAACTCTTCACATCTCAAAGATGAATTTCAGGTATGGACTATTTCTGAAGCCTCTTTTATGACTTATTACAACTTGTTCTGGGTACTAATAACTATTTCATGAAAGGTCCTGGCAAGTCAAATTTGCAACCTTTGACCCTACTTCAAGTATAATAAAATACTTGTCTCTTTCATTGTACATTTTATAGAATCACTTCCATATTAATCAGCTCATATCTGCTATGTCTTGTAGGGCAAATGAGTTGCGTCCTCAAGGAAAAGTATAAGGGAAAGGCATTATAAAAGTCAAATTTGATGATGATTTGTATCCCCTTTTTTCATGTAGCCTCTTAGAAATTTGACTGGCTATGTAACTTTCAATGTGAGATCAGCACATAAATACTAATAGCTAAAGTTTGTGCTAAATATTGTCTCTAACTAGCCAAAGATTGATAGGAATGAAGTCATAAATAGCTCTAGAAAATGAATACTTTCCTTCGCAGCATAGTGATCCTTCTACCAAGTACCACTTGTGAATCTTCAAATGTGGCCTTGCTAAAGTATGATTGCAAATTATACTAATACAGTTTCCAGTTTGGATAGGTCAGCATCAGCAGTCTAGACCACCTGGGTTGTATTGTGTTTGGTTACAGAATGTATTTTTCAGGTAGCTATGTTGTTTAGCGTGTCTTTTCATTTTAAGAAGAAGCACATTGCACAATGTGTGTCTTGTTTCTTTGATACTTCTCAGGCTTCATTAGCTCTAAGTAAAAAAGTCATATCAGCCTGTCATTGTGCCAACTTCCAGGCCTTGCAAAATCTTTCACTTTCTATGTGATCTCCTGAATCCGTGATGGGTTTGTTTGCTATTAAATGGGTCACTGTCTTTTTAACCTGGATTCTTATTTCTCTTCAGACTCTGAATTCAGTCACCCCTCGACTACAAGCTGAGGACTGCAGTATAGCATGCCTGCCAAGGAACCACGACAAGAACCGTTTCATGGACATGCTGCCACCTGACAGATGTCTGCCTTTTTTAATTACAATTGATGGGGAGAGCAGTAACTACATCAATGCTGCGCTTATGGATGTAAGAGACTACCTTCTTTGTTAGTGGAGAAACGCAGTGAAAATCCATGTATGCCCCTGAACACTGGCTTCTTTCTACAAAATTTAAATGGCTTAGAATTGAAAATTGGAAATTTGCATGGACATTCTTTTCTAGAAAGTGATTTCAGATTTGACTCATGAAGAGTCTTAGTAATTATAATTTTTTTAGCTTTATTGGAGAACTAGGGCTTGATGATCAGTTATTGTCTTTTTTTTTTTTTTTTTGTCGGTCATTGGGCTTGAACTCTGGGCCTGGGCACTGTCCCTGTGCTGTTCAGCTCAAGGCAAGCACTCTACCGCTTGAGCCACAGCACCGCTTCTGGTTTTCTGGTGGTTTATTGGAGATAAGAGTCTCACGGACTTTCCTGCCTGGGCTGGCTTTGAACCATGATCCTCAGATCTCAGCCTCCTGAGTAGCTAGGATTACAGGCGTGAGCCACCAGCACCCGGCTCAGTTATTGTCTTCATAGAAGAAATTGTGGAGGTTGTATTTTTTTCATTGTAATTATTTTTTTAGAAAATAAAGGAAATCATTCCTTATCTATTTTGATTTTCATTAAGGATGTATTTTTAAAGTCATAGGATGCCATATCTTAACAAAATTATGCTAATTTGGGGAATTTTATGTGTCATGTAATGTTCCCATAATTTACAGCTAAGTTGTTTTATTTGCTGTTAGTTAATAAGGACTTTTTGGAAATAAGTATATGACCATTGGTGTACATAAGACATAGGAGTCATGAAATGGGGCTTTCTTGTCTTGGTCCTATATTTACTTCTTTGAATGAAGTAATAATTCATTTCTTCATTTACATTCGTTTGGAGGCATCAAGTCTACCCACAAATGAACTCAGTAATATTCTCCAGTGATCCCCATGGTGTAGGCAGCATTTTGGTCCATCTCTACATGAAATGAAGGCCTCCTATGGATCTTCCTCTGAAGTGTATTGAATTTGCTTGAACAACTGATTATCAGTTTGTGTTCTCACCTTTCTCTATCTACTGTGTTTCTTCACAGAGCTACAGGCAGCCAGCTGCTTTCATCGTCACACAGTACCCACTGCCCAACACTGTGAAAGATTTCTGGAGATTAGTATATGATTATGGTTGTACCTCCATAGTGATGTTAAATGAAGTCGACTTGTCCCAGGTTAGTGGGCATTGGTTGCTTTGTGTATTAATATACAACTTAATAGAGTTACAAATCATAATTTCTATTTCATATAATCCTAATTAGAAAACTTCATACTCATTTTTTTATTTCAAAATATTTCTCATCTAGGGCTGCCCCCAGTACTGGCCAGAGGAAGGGATGCTGCGGTATGGCCCTATTCAAGTGGAATGTATGTCTTGCTCAATGGATTGTGATGTGATCAATCGGATTTTTAGGATATGCAATCTAACCAGGGTAAGTCTTTGTTGAGCCGTCTAACTGACTCAGGGTGAATAGATAATTATTGTGATGAACATAATTCACCTCAAAGATCTGAGAGAGAAGAATTAGTAAGCACCCCATAATGCATGAAATAACTAGTGATATCTTATACCTTAGTGCAAGGACAAGAAAAGCAATCCAATCCCCCCAAAAATTAGAAATACAAAAGCCCAATTTTGTTTCCAGTTGCTAACTAGGTTAGTCTATCACATCTGGAAATCTAGATTCAGAAGCAGTAGCCCAGATAGATTTGATAGGCAGGCCTGCATCCTCAGAATCACGTGCACTTCAGTAGATATCTAGCCAGAAAATGGCCTGCAATTGAAAAGTAAGAACATAATGATGTTGTTGATGACAAAGAAGATTTACCTCAGGAGGGAGGAACATGTCAGAGCAGCTATTATAGGGTAATTCTATGTCAGTATTCCAAGACCTGCATATAAGAGAAGAGTCCAGGCCTGAAAGAAAAGGTAGATCCTCGCCATCACTGATTCTTCTACTAACAATGCTGTCTTTCTAAGCACCGTGGTTTTGGCTCTGCAAGATCTAAAGCGAGAGTTCTGCTGCCGCTTCTGTGCCTTTTCCTATCAGCAACATAACAACTGTGTCCCTTAGGTGCCCTTCCCCTGTCTAGTCATGTGCTTTGCATTAAATAGCAAGTTGGAATTTTCTTTTTCCCAAAACAAGTACTAAGACCATTTAGATTATAGCACTGGAGAGCAAGCAGAATTTGAAAACCATAGTTGGAAAGCTGCATTTTCATAAAGAAAAAGATAGCTTCTGTTTACAAAGTACCCGCTCGATGTGTATGCATTATTTTAAGTGTGTGATTAGGATTGTCATGTTTCAGTGTTTCTTATATCAAAATGACTATATGCGTGTCTGTTAATTAGCCTATATGTATATAACTATAAACGGGATAAAATCATATCCAATTCTCTCGCTCATTTCAGTGGAGAAAAACAGGTAAGTTCAATCATGTCATAATATTCATGCATATCTTGGATGTTAATTTAAATGGAATCTCATTATGTCTGCACATCTGTTACATTATGGTTCTAGTTATATTTTAGCTGAGCAACCATAGCTGCTAAAGTAAGAAAGTAAAAGACCTCTGTGAATTGAGCTGTTTATATGGAAAAAAAACTAGAAATAATATTTAAAATCCATTTTTTTCATTATGTATGTTTATGTGTTTCTTTATTTTCCTCCATATCTGATGTTTTGGTGCTTTTTAAGGTATGATACTTTTTCTCTTCCTGGTCTCGTTATTTAATAGGACTTCCTTCATCATGTACTTGGTATGCACAACTGTCAAGATGGGTATTGTATTCCATAGAGCTGGAGCCCTAGAGGCTGGCACATAGAGGTTCAGATAGGATGCCTTAAGATACAGCTTGCTTGTTCAATGTATTTCATAGTCTTTCTTGTCTTGAGTTTAACATTTTGATTTCTTTTAGCAGTACTAGCTTTTGAAAAGTACTATGCAAGATTCTTGTGACAGAGTTAGAGGGAAAAGAGAGATTTGCTTAGCCTTAGGGAATTTACATTTTATCAGGGAAGATAAATAATCACTTATTTACTAATGTGATATATAAGTGACAGAGGAAAAGCCCAGCATGCAGTTTATTTAAAACTGGAAGGTGAGACATAGCTATGTGATCACAGAAGACATCTCTAAGATACTGGTATTTAAGACAAAATTTGAAATCTGTAGGTGATATTTGAAGGTGAGAAACCAGCTATCTTGCTTTGCCCGAGACAGAGAACTTTCCCAGAATGCATGGGTTTCAGTTCTAAAACAGAAAAGTTCCCCTACTTGGATTGAGAAGAGCAATCAAGAAAAAAGTTTCCAAGACCAAGGGGACAGCAAATGCAAGAAGTTAAAGCAAGAAGTGTCTTGATAATGCATGCATGAAAGGAGACCTGTGTAAAACCAAGTCTCACTGGCTCATACCAGCAATAATATCAACTCAGATTGAAATTTGGACGATCTCAATTCAAAGAAGCTGGGACAGAAAACTCTGAAAGACTGCATCTCCAGTTACCCAGCAATATTAATGGACTGGAGGAATGACTCAAATAGTAGAATGCCAGACATGAGCCAAAAAAAAGGCTAAAACAGAATGGCAGGCCATTGTATCTAGAACTGGAATGCTAACTAGGTAGAGTAAAAAGAAGTTTGGAAGGAATGCAATGAAATCATGTAAAGATTTTCAAGTCACAGTAGAGATTTGGATTTTATGCTAAGATCATCTGAAGTCATTCAAGTTATCAACATCATTGTAGATATCTGTAGTAAGAATGGATTGGAAAGATATCAAGGTTTATTCAGAAAGATTAGCATCAATTATTTATAAATTGTGACTAACACTGGTAGCAACGTGACAGGTGAATATGAAAGGAGCTTAAGAAATATGATCATGGGAATCAAGCCCTGGATTGGGGATGTGCCAACCATAGACCTAAAGAACACTTCCCATGCTTCTCATTGTGTCACATGGAATGCTTCTGTAAGAGTGCGTGCCATCTAGACTCCAGCCAGTGTGAATGCACTTTGTATTATAAAGTACGTACACGCTTACATTCACCAAACTTCTACTCTCACCTTACTCTAATTAAAACATTTTTCCATCTTCAGCCCCAGGAAGGTTATCTGATGGTGCAGCAGTTTCAGTATCTAGGGTGGGCTTCTCATCGGGAAGTACCTGGATCCAAGCGGTCGTTTTTGAAACTGATACTGCAGGTAGAAAAATGGCAGGAGGAATGCGAGGAAGGAGAAGGGCGGACCATCATCCATTGCTTGTGAGTAGAGCTGATTGGCCTTAGAACAAGGGAGCCTTAGAATTCACTTGCTTGTGTTCTTTTCATTTTTTTAATCTTAATTGTTAGTGTAAAGGTTATGTACGGAGGGGTTACAGTTATATAAGTTGGATAAAGAGAACATTTCTTTTTGAACAATGTCACCCTTTCCCTCCCTCTCTCCTAGTTTTTCCCTCCCATCTCCACATATAAGTTGTATAGTTCATTTTCAACATAGTGCCTTAATGAGTATCACTGCTGCATTTGTTCACCTTTTGTCCCTCCATTTCTATGCTCTCCCTTACCCTCCCAAAGACAGATAAATGAACAGACAAAACAAAAATAAAACAAAGACAGCAACAAAGAAAATAATAAAATCTCTTGTTTCCATTTCCTGGAATTCATTTTGATAAATATTACCTCATATGATCAGATGCACATAGCTACTGCATCTGTGATCTTCTCCTAAGAATATCCTCCTTGTGTCTCATTCAGTGTATACTAGAGTTCCTTACATCTTCAAAGACTTCATGGTATTTAAAAATGAAAATCCCCCAACAACAAATCTTCAAAGAAACAACTGCCCAATAAATAAGTGGGCTAGGGCTGGGAAGGTGGCTCAGTGGTAGAGCACTTGCCTTGCATGCGTGAGGCCCTGGGTTCAATTCCTCAGCACCACATAAGCAAAAAGAAAAAAGCCGGAAGTGGCACTGTGGCTCAAGTGGTAGAGCGCTAGCCTTGAGCTGAAGAGCTGAGGGACAGTGCCCAGGTCCAGAGTTCAAACCCCATGACTGGACCCAATAAAAACAAACAAGTGGGCTAAAGACTTAAAGAGAAACTTCTCTGAAGAGGAAAGGAGGATGGCCAATAGACACATGAAGAAATGCTCAACCTCCCTAGACATAAAAGAAATGCAAATCAAAACAACATTGAGATACCACCTCACCCCAGTTAGAATGGCTATAATCAAGAACTCTAATAACAACAGATGCTGAAGGAGATGTAGACAGAAGGGAACCTTACTTCGTTGTTGGTGGGAATGTAAACTTGTTCAACCACTCTGGAAAGCAGTATGGAGGTTCCTCAAAAGACTCCACATAGAGCTCCCCTATGACCCAGCAATCCCACTTTTGGGCATTTACCCAAATGTTCACAAACAAGACCATACTAAAGCTACCAGCACAACTATGTTTATTGCAGCATTATTGACCATAGCTAAGATATGGAACCAACCCAGATGCCCCTCAGTAGATGAATGGATCAAGAAAATGTGGTATATATACACAATGGAATTCTATACCTCCATCAGAAAGAATGACATTGCCCCATTTGTTAGGAAATGGAAAGACTTGGAAAAAATTATACTAAGTGAAGTAAGCCAGACCCAAAGAAACATATGTCCCATGGTTTTCCTTGTTTGCAGTAACTAGTATATGTCTGAGTCAAGCAGAAAAGGTCAGATAAGTTGATGTTAGGAAATGAACCCTAAGATATGTATTCAAATGTTTTTTTCTTTCATGCAATTGTTTCTAATACATTTATAAGATTATTTCTTTGTTGCTTTGTATGTCCCTCCCCCATGGTATAACCCCTGCCTTTACTGTATTTGATGTTGGTATAATTTGTGGAGGGGAAGGGAAAAAACAAATCGTTTAAATAGGGATACAGGTAGATCAATTACAACAATGGAACAAATGAGATGTACAAGTCATTATGTCGAAAACAAACTTTATAACTTTGGTGCTGGGTTGGGGGGGGGGGGCGGAGGTGGGGAGGATGGGAAGGGATGGGAAGGGGAAACAAAGGAGGAGGCTACAATGCTTGATAAGAAATGTACTCATGATCTTGCCCATGTAATTGTAACCCCTCTGTACAGTATTTTCACAATTAAAAAAATGAAACTCTTGAATCTACCATATTTCTCATAATAGGATAAACCAGTAACTGACTTTCATTTTTGTATTCTCTAAATATTGTTATAGAATTGCTTTATGATTTAAACTCTTTTCAACACTACACTAAATGTCAAGGTATCCAGGTTATTCCTCCAGGAAGCTCCTGAGCTAACTCAGTCTCATTTCCTATTTCCTTCCCCATACACACACATGCACCTACAGAGAGCAAAATCAAACACAAATGGAACAACATTTAAAAGCTAATGTTTTCTTCTCTCAAATAAATGTAATATTATGGCTTAGGGTTCCCTAGAGCTGCCAAAAATAAACTTGTTTCCTCTACTTTCAGAAACGGTGGCGGGCGAAGTGGCATGTTCTGTGCTATAGGCATTGTTGTTGAGATGGTAAAGCGGCAGAATGTTGTAGATGTATTCCATGCAGTGAAGACACTAAGAAACAGCAAGCCGAACATGGTGGAAGCCCCGGTAAGTCACAGGGTTTCGGACTCATAAAGGATCTTAGAAATGGGCTTGTAATGATTTCATTTCATACAGATGAGAAAATAGACTATTGTGGGGATCTTCCCACTAATTTTTAGATTGTGGAGTATCTCCCTTCCGTGTCAGCTCATCACACGTCACATAAACTGTTACTAATGACAAACATTGTGGTTTCATGTAATATACTGAATTTTTTCCTGTTATCAGTATTTGCTTTTTAAAAGATCTTCAGTAAATGGTTCAAGATGAAAGTCTGCTATCAAAGCTCTTTTCTCATTTTTCTCCTTTTTATTTTATTTTCTTTGATTTATATTTTACTGCTAGTGGGACTTGAACTCAGGGCCTCAGATGCTCATATTTTGGGTTTTTTTTCTTTTCTTTCTTTCTTTTTTTCTTCTCAAGGCTATTACTCTACCACTTGACTCACACCTTCACTTCTTGCTGATTAATTGGCATTAAGAGTCACACAGACTTTTCTGCCTGAGCTGACTTGGAAACTTTATCTTCAGATTTTTGCCTCCTGAGTAGCTAGGATTACAGGCAAGAACCACAAGCACCCAGCTTTATTTTCATTATGTAAGGCATATTGAGTTAACTACTAAAACATTTATTTGCAATCATGTTCATAGGTTGCCTTGTCTTTGACACCCAGATAAATGTATTTTGTTTTATTCTGTTCTGTTTATTGATTTTCTTCTTTGCAGTACTAGTAATGGGACCCAGGTCCTCACCCATGCTAGAGCTACAACCCTAACCCAACCATACTCTGGATTTTTAAAGGAGAGCTGACACTGAATTCAGTCTGATTTGTCTAATTAAATTAGAAATTATTAAACTATCATTGTTGACACTTTTCAGCTTTTAGCATCTATAAAGTACAGTTCATGTGATATCACAGAGTTTGTCTGGGCTTGCCGAATCAGAATATGGCTTTCAAAATGGTATATGGTCTATGGGTATATATGAGTCAAGTTTCACTTGGTGAAGCTGTATGCAAAGTAAAAAGATTATTACCTCTCTGACATTTTTTTTTTTACTTCTAAAGCAAGGTATCTGGGTTTCACACGTGTACACGATAGTTCAGATGAGCAGCAAGTGTGTAGCTGAGACTCAAGAGGAAAAACCAAAAAAAACAAGGCATCCTTGTTGCTTGCCCTACCTTTATCAAGATGATCAGATAACTCAAATGAGCAATTCAATAAACCTTTCATGTATTTTCACCACTTCCTGCTTCTGGGTTGTTCACACAAGAGGTGAATTGCTTCCTGAGACAAAATTTGAAGACTTAGGTTTGTGCTATTTCATTTTGACAAAGGATGGCAGATAACTGCCTTTTCTCAAGTCTCTCACTCTCTCTCTTCCCCACGGACAGGATGATGCTGGTTTTGTCTAGATTGGTAACAATCAACATTGGGAAAAGGGTGAATTTGAAAGATTTTTGGGGGAAGAATTTTCAGATCTTTATATAAAATGGATGGGGTACTATTTCTGCCTTTAAATCATTCTAATCTGAAGAGTTGTAAATTGCAACATTGAGGCTCTGGGAATCACTCCTGTCTTCAGAATTCAAAGTTTGTTCTACATTTAACTTTATTATCTTGCCTTTTCTGGAAATTAAAATTTCTGTAGTTAAATACTGCCTTTATGGAATCTTCCATAGAGTTACTATTTTTTTTCTTACATTCAGATCTAATTATTACTAAATACCCAGTTGAATCAAGGTTAATAATTAATTCAGGTTGCTAAAGGGTTGAGTTGTTTGGCCAGGAACTTTAGAGTTAAAATTAGTAGAGAATGTTTAAAGAGAGACTGTTCCCAACACTTTTTTGGTTTAAAGAACCATCTACAAGATGGACTTGCCACAGCAGCAGGCTAATTTAAATCATATTTATTTCGAGAATTCTTAAAAGTGTTAAATACTTCTTGGTAAAACTTTTATAAATAATGAGTAATATTCATTTATAAATAATATTTATTTCAGATTGTTTTCTAGTATAACCACTTAGACTGAATTAAGAACTTTAAAATGAATTAAATATTGTACATCACAATTTGCAATACACTATAAGAATTTTTCTAAATCCTTAATAATGGACCAAGTCCATGGATTTATGACTCAAATTATTAAGTGTAACTCAAAATTTTATTGCCAGCCAAGTTATCTGATGTAGAGAGAGGGGACATTAATAAAATTATATATACATAGCTAGCCATGAAAATTTCAAGAATCACTAGCCATCCATGTAAAATTTACTTAAGTAGTAGTCTGGTGGACTATGTACCAAAGCAAAAATTAAAAATTTGAGTTGGGCCCTGGTTGTTCATGCCTGTAATCCTAGTTACCCAGGAGTCTGAGATCTAAGGATCTCAGTTTGAAGCCATCCCACTTGGTAAAGTTTATGATGAGACTCTTATCTCCAGTCAACCACCAGAAAACCAGAAGAGGTGTTTTAACTGAAAGTGGTAGAGCATGAGCCTTGAGCAAAATGCGCAGGGATGGGGGCGGGTGGGGGGGTGGGTAAGGGGGAGTGCAGGTGTGAGAATGTGGCTTAGTGGTAGCGTGTTTGCCTTGCGTGAGTGAATCTCTGGGTTTGATTAATCAGTTCTACACAAAAAGAAAAAGCCAGAAGTGGCACTGTGGCTCAAGTGATAAAGTACTAGCTTTGATCAGAAGAAGTTCAGGGACAGTGCCCAGGCTCTGAGTTCAAGCCCCAGGAATGGCAAAAAAAAAATTTTTTTAAGTGTTCAGGGATAGCATCCAGGCCCTGAGTTCAAGCCCCATGACCAGCTTTAAAAAAAAATGAAACTGGGAAAAACAATTCATAATAATTGACTTTGCTTTTATCTTTCTTTTCTTTTTTCCTGGGGAAAATAGACAATGTGGAGAAAAATAATAGCACACATCTTTGTAGCCATAGTTTTAAAAAAATAGAGAACCCACCTACCAATCCATATCACAGATTTTTATGTAATACTAAAAAGATTTTAAGTAAAATGGAAAAGACACATAACAATGTCACATAAAGTAAAATATAAAATTATGTTTTGAATATTCCAAAAGAATTATCATTTTAACCATATACTTTTAAAAAAAATTATATTAAATTAAGGCAATATCTTAACAATTTCTTCTCATGGAAGAATTGTATCTCTTCTGCTTTTTTTTCTGTGCTGGGAAATATTTCTGTAATGATGAAGTATTACTGTTATAACCAGATTTTTTTTAATCTGGACAATTAATGATTCTCTTAACAAAAAACATAGGTGGGCAAAGATAAAATATCTTTCTTCCTTGTTCTTTTTCTTAAACAAAGAATGATTAGACTCAATGTAAAATATGCCTAACTATTCCTCTTGTGTATAGAAAACAGTGATGCTGCGACTGTCAAGTGATCTAAATTGGGTGTTTAGTTTTCCTTTAGCAGCTATTCTCCACCATTAGCCTTTTTTCCTAATTTCTCTCAACCCTTCTGTTGTGATGTTTTCCAGGAGCAGTACCGTTTCTGCTACGATGTAGCTTTGGAATACTTAGAATCTTCTTAGTCGGGTGAGAATTTCCACAGTGCATCCACACAGAAACCTGTTCATCTGTTGAGCCAGCAGCAGTTGTAACCTGTTACACCTGTGCAGAGAGATTTTAATGTGGGGGGTGGGAGGATTTTACATTTGAGAGGTAAAAGTATTTTTCTTATGAAGATGTATCTTAATAAAAAAAAGAGAACTTGATTACTTTCTATTGCTGTATTAAAGCATCTACATCTCATGCCACATGAAATACGTTGAATAAGAACCAGATTCAAATGACAACTTATTAGTGTTTGTAAAGTGAATACACAACATTTTCTCTCCTGCCTTAGGTAGAGCATCCACTACATGTTGCATGAATTAGTACTTTCTATGTGGCATTTTCCTCCCTTTTTAAAATAAAAAGCTGTTGAATCCTTAAAGGAATAAGAACAAAGAAGAGCTGTGCAAATTCACAGTCAATTTCATTTTTATATGTTCCAAGTGTAGCAGATCTCTATATAAATATATAAATATATATAACTGTCTTATTTTCTTTTAATGTGCAATGATGGCTGGATCATTTAAAATTCTTTTTAGAAAATAACATAAGCCAAAGACTCAAGTGTAAATATGTCTATAAGGAAAAAGCACATTATATTTATTGGTTACTTACATTCCTTTTTTGATGGCAAAAATACTACCACCATGCAATCATTTTTGTTTCCTAAGATTTTTTTTTCCTTTAGCGAAAATCAATTGTAAATGATTTTTGTAGATTATTTTTTGTATGTTTTAGTGTAAGTAGAAGATAAACTTTTTATTCATAAACCAGGAAAGCAATGTCTTTATAGTGATTCCCTTGTGTACATGCTTGTGAATTAAATTTATGTAAAACACCTTGGCAATTGTCTTTTAATAGAGGACTGAATTAAAAACTTTTTTTGCCAAAAATGTAATTTTTTCACAGTTTCATTAGTAAATAATAATGGTTTGGTGACCAGATTAGAGACACACACACCACCACATGTTGGAAGGCATAGTGGGTGAGCTGCACAGTGTTTAGCACAGCTCTGGAGCATTATTTAGACTTTAAAGGAATTCATGGCTTCAGACTGATCGGTAACACTATCAGCAACACTGATGCTTCCTGGGGCGAGTATCAGCAAACTGTCGACTATCAAGGTGATAAAATGCTTCTTCCCATGTTTACATGCACAGGCCGTGGGCTCTGACCATATAGAAAGTGTGAGCAAATCAGTGTCAGCCTGATATGTGCATTTGTCAATGAGACTCTCGCGTGAACTTCTCTAAATATGGTCTTGTTCCCATGCTCCATGAAGCTATAACTTCCCATTGTCAGCTTGCAGTTGACAGTGACTAAAGCTTTCTAGTGTCCTCATTCTAGATTGCCAGTTCACTACATGGTGCTTCTAAAGATTTAATGGAAGTAAGTGTGAAATAAAGTTTTATAATTACAACAGTTACTGTTTACATGTCTTTTTCGCCTCTTAATTTTCACATTTTTTTCCTAAATTGTGGAGATCCATAGGCCACAAAATTATACTAAAGTAATAATGAATTTTTAAATAATTTTTCCTAATCTAAATATCTTCCCAGGAGAATGAACAATAAAATAGCCAAGATCAGCCGGGCACTGGTGGCTCACACCTGTAATCCTAGCTACTCAGGAGGCTGAGATCTGAGGATTGAGACTCTGATATCCAATAAACTACCAGAAAACCAGAAATGGCGCCATGACTCAATTGGTAGAGCACTAGCCTTGAGCGGAAGAGCTGAGGGACAGGGCCCAGACCCAAAGTTCAAGACCCATGACCAACAACAAAACAATAGCCAAGGTCTCTCTTTTCTCACCCCCCCCCTCTCTCTCTTTCTTTCTCTCTCTCTCTCTCTCCCTCCCTCCATCCCCCCTCCCTTCCTTCTTTCCTTTCTCTCTCTCTCCTTCCTTCCTTCCTTTTCTTTCTTTCTTTTTCTTTCTTTCTTTCTTCTTTCTTTCTTTCTTTCTTTCTTCCTTTCTTTCTTTCTTTCTTTCTTTCTTTCTTTCTTCCTTCCTTCCTTCCTTCCTTCCTTCCTTTCTTTCTTTCTTTTTTGGTTCTTTCTTTGGTTCTTTCTTCCTTCTTCCTTTTCTCTCTACCTTTCTTCTACATAAGTGAATATCTGTGTTAGTTAGCTCTACATCACTGTGACAAAATACCTTAAGAAGAGTTTCATTTGGTTCACTATTTCAAAGGTTTCGGTCCAGGGTCAGTTGGACCTGTGGCCTTGGGCCTATGTCAAGGCAGAACTCATGACGGACAGAAGGCACATGGTGGCTTGGGAAGAGAATGAGCTGTTTTTGTAGCAGAGCCCCTCCTCCATAACCTATTGAACCATGAATCCATGAATGGAGTTGATTAACCCATTCATGAGGTCAGAGATCTCATGGTCCTATCACCCCAAAGAACCTCGCTCTAAATATTGCTGCCTATGAGACCCTAGTCCTAAGCACGCAAGTTTGGGGTTGGTAATCTATGATAGAAGCCATGACACTATCCACTTAAATAGCACATTTCTATACTTCTTTGTAACAATCTTGATCAAAAAATAATAATAATGGTCATTCTTCTGTAGTATATAGTTGGTGAAACTGAGTCTAAAGACAGGGTAAATGGTGTGTCATTAGATTCAAATCAGAGGCTAACTTAGCTGTTCCATCTACTAACCCCTCTGTTTATATAATGTTGCAAGAGCAGTCACTTCATTCTTATTATCCATTATGAATTGCTTTTCTTGGGCAGCATTAACAATCTGAGCATCCCCAGGCTCTCCTTTGCCATGGACAAGTCGAGAGCAGTTGGGACTTTCATCAGTAAGGACTCTGCTGGGAAAACTATTTTTCAGAGAATCATGGAAATGTTTAACAAAGATGGAGGCTGTCTTAACCTTTTTGTTGCTATGACAGAAAACCTGATTGTGGAGGGAAACAAAGGCATTTATTTTGGCTCCTGTTCTGGAGGCTAGAAAATCTAGGAGCTTTGAATCAACACCTGCTCTTGGCTTCCAGGGAGGGCCTTTGGCTGGCTGCCTTCAGCTGGCTGGACAGTGGAAAGGCAAGCGCTTGCACATGAAGGAAAGAAGGGCCCTACCTCAGGATAGCTACCCCGTTCCCCCAAGAAAGATCTCCTCAAGGGAGTTTCACCCGTCACCCAAAAACCACCCACTAGGCTCCCCCTTCTGACTTGAGTTTTACTAGAAACAAACCAAGCCTTGGCAAAGACACTTCACAAACACCTGCAAACTCATCCAGTATTCCTTTAGGTAGCAGTATTCTCTGTCAGTGCTGAAGGGTCATAATGTCATTCCAGCTCGTGTGAATATGTGAAACCCTACCAAAGTCCTCTTGAGTGCAGCTTCCACACAGTTCTTTCTGCATACATCAAGAAATCAAGGCAGGCAGTGGAGGCACACGTCTGTAATCCTGGCTACTCAGGAGGTTATGACTTGAGAATCTTGGTTCGAAGCCAACCCAGATAGAAATATCCAAGAGATTCTTCTTCCCAGTTAAGCAGAAAAAGCAGAAAGAGTATGAACCTTGAATGGAAAAACTAAGTAATTACGTGAGCTCTGAGTTCAAGCTCAGTTCAAGCTTCAGCAAAAGGAAAAATAAAAAGAAAAGCAATCAGTCTGTGTGGCTTAACTAGTAGTGCCTACCTAGCAAGCACAGGACTGAGTTCAAGTCCCAGTACTACCAAAAAAATATTCTCAAAAAAGAGAAAAATTCCATGCTTGCTTCATTAGGGTACTACAGAGGACAGTTTATCAGGAGACAGCATGAGAGGTCTAACATTTTTCTAAGAACTCACAGTTGAGCTGGATAGGGTTATGCACACTTGTAACCCTAGCACTTAAGACTCTGAGGTCAGAGGATTAAGATTTCTGAGCCAGACTGGGCTATATAACAAGTTTGAAGCCATCTTGGGCTACCTAGTAAGACTTTGCCTTAAAGAAACACACACACACACACACAACGAAAAGCAAATATTCGTACTTTATATCTTGAGGAACTTGGAGTAGATCCGTTCATGGCCAGCTCCTACCCAGCTAAATCTCTCTGGGAAGGCACCTTGGCAGAGTTTCAAAGAGTGACCTATTTTTCAGTTTTCCATATCTATCAGTTATTCCTTAAATAGCTGTCACAAATTGGACTTCAAGATCCCTTTCCTATATACTTAGGAATGATGGAATATGTGGGCCAGAGACACATGAGAACTAGAAATTTATTCTTTTAACCAAGTACTCTTGAAATGTTTGTTAAACAACCCTCTAGTCTGAACTTCTTCTTAGCCTTTTCCTATTATTTACAGAGAGCATAGCATCTCGACTCCAATAATCATTAAAAGTCAAGGAAAGTATTCTTTATAGCTCAACTGAAAACATGAGAATCTATTAACTTAAAAGATCACCTTTGAGATTAGCCTCATTTTCACAAAGGAGTGATATTTGTCCTTTTGTTTAATTTCATTGAGCTTTGGCATTCATTTTTCTTTTTTTTTTAAAGACTTAGATCTATATTTTTTATTTATTTTTTATTTTTTTGTTGGTCATGGGGCTTGAACTCTGGGCTTGGGCATAGTCCCTGCGCTCTTCAGCTTAAGGCGAGCACTCTACCGCTTGAGCCACAGCACCACTTCCTGGCATTCATTTTTCTTAACAAAATAACATGAAAACAACTTTTTGTCACCTACTCAAATGTAATATGTAATGTCCACCCTAAAAATATTAACATGGCCAGAAACCTCACACTCTTCACAGACACCCTGAAAAATTATATAATGGACAGGGTCAATATAATATTCTATTGAATGCTATTTTGTGTAAATATAAAAGACAACTGTCTGTGCTTCACTTGGTTACTTCTCCCTACACACTTCCATAAAATACCCCTATGACTTAGGGAGCTTGAAGTGGGAGTGATATTAGAATTAGTTCTCAATGCTGGCCTATTCAGTCTGCACAGTAGAAGATTATCTCTCAAAAACTAAAAGGGAAAGATCTGTCTTGGGATGTGTCTTACATAAGCTGTAAGTCACTTCTGGAATATAAATTTTCAAAAAAATCAATGGAAATGTGATAGATATATAACACTTCTGAACATCTAGCTCTTTCCAGAGTGAATTGAAGTACTAAACTGGAAGATAACCAACACCACAGAAGCACCATTGTTATCAAATCCTAGAAGAAATTAATGGATTGGTTTCTAAACCACCGAACAAACATAGGTCCACATAGACTATCTGAAAACTCTTTCTTTTTGTTAAAATTTGTCTGGGGAAGAAAGCAGGGAGAGATTTTATGACAGATAATAATCCCTCGATGCACTACCCAGTTGTAGAAAATGAGCTACAGTTCCTAAAATGTAATGCAGAAAATCAAATACTGATTTATTCTGATGTAGTGGTATCCATCTCAAAATCTGATTTTTTTATGTTTTATTATTAGTCTTGATTCAGTCCTAAAAATGTAACATTTATGCAAAAACAAAAAACAAACAAAAATGACCCTCAGAATTTCCAGGCAATCTATGCAGATACAAGAACGAAAATATCTAAGCAGAGTCACCGAAGACTTCTTTTCTTACATAGGGACTAGAATGTACAGACAGACAAAGGCCATAAACTAGTCTGTGCTATATGGTTTTAGAGACAGCATCAAACAGAGAACACAGAGTGTAATTGTCATGGCATCCATTGTTATTTATTGAGAAAAGCAAAGCAAACTAATGGCTGTATGCCAGCAGGTAAGTGTTAGTGAGGGAATCAGACCAGGGATTTTTTTTAATGACAACTCCATTCCTATACAACAACAAATATCTGTTGTTTGTGCTTTCTCTAGTAGGAATATTTTTCACCTCTTCAAAACTACTGCTTCTGTGAGAAAGCAAAGAAAAGGGTGGCATTGCCCCTTCAAAAGATGTACTCATTACTTGACTTGTGAAATGGAAACCCCTCTCTACAGCACATTAATAATAAAAAATAAAAATACTCCAATTTGCTAGTGGAGATTGTTCTATAGCTGTTAGGGAGATGAATGGGCTACTTCCTAGCTTCTGTGCCCACAAGTCTTTCATTGGCTTTGTCTTTACTCACTGAAAATGAGAAAATCTCTGTATACCACTATCTGCATATATGAAATGC